CTGCAACATGAAGATGCTTTCCAGTCGCCTCCTCGCACAAGTGCAGGCATGCCTGCAGCATCCCCCCAGCAGCAGCAGCTGTCCCCACTGCAGCAGCAGCAGCAGCTGTCCCCCCATGTGCAGCAGCTCTCCCCCGAGCAGCAGGCGCAGCAGCAGCAGCAGCAGCAGCAGCAGCAGCAGCAGCAGCTGCAGCAGCTGCAGCTGGCCTTGCCGAGTGGTCAGCAAAGCCCATCCCTGTCAAGAACTTCACCTACATTTCAGACACATTTGCCCAGCATGGATGACAATGACGTCATGGGGGAAGTGGAGAACTCGAGCAAGCTCGTGACCGAGGCTTTGGAGAACAAGAAGATGGAGAACAAGAAGAAGCCAGCAGCCTCAAAGGCCAAAGCTAAAGCCAAGTCCAAGGCCGAGCTACCCAAAGGTAAGCCCAAAGCAAAGGCAAAAGCCGTTGCTAAGGCAGGCACTAAGGATTCCAAGCCCAAGGCCAAGGCCCAACCAAAGAGCAAGGGTATGGCAAAGCCGGATCGTGAGCACTTTCGCTCCATGACCAGTGCCCAAAGGATCAAATTGCGCCCGAATGGGTGTGGCAAGTGCCGGTGGAGGCCGGGCTGTTCCCCAAGTTGCTTTGCCTGAGCAGCCTGCCCAGCAAGCCGAAGTGAGTGTGAGTTTTGTGTTTCAATTGAAGCCATGCAGTCTGTGCGACTTCAGCATTCGGTGAATGGTACATCGTGCGAACAATTGTTCCATCTTCGGCAGCAGCTTCAGGGGCAGCTGTTCTTAGTACTATATCCTATATACTGTGTGCAGAACGAAAGATGTTGCATTTGGTGACAGGGAGTCGCTCTCGCAACTGTGCTCGAAACAGCATGCATGCATGCTTGCTTCATGGATTGCATGTGTGCTCCAGTTGGCATGCAGCATTCATGGACTGTCCTCGCAACAGATCTTTTTGCCATCACTGATGTCAGCTCTGTAGGCTTCGGCTTGCTGATGTGCTGTTGTCACTGTGTTCTGCATGCAGGTCGCTGCCTCAAAGTTTCAATTCGCCGTCTATGTAGGCTCAAGCAAACCGCTTCAGACCTTTCTTGTTGCTTGCAGGTTTATATATATGGTTTACTTGGGGGCTTCTATAGGGTTTAGGGTTCTATAGGGTTTAGGGTCCATATAGGGTTTAGGGTTTAGGGTTTATATATAGGGTTTATAGGGTTCTATATTTCTAAGGTTTAGGGGCTTATAAGGGAAGTTTCGGTCGGTTCTTCACTTCACACGAAATCTTGTTTTTGTTGAATCCACATGCAGATTCTCGCTTTTGCAGGGCTGCCGTAAAGCTCGCAAAGCAGGGACTACAATGGTTGATCTGGCCAAATTGGGCCGACGATCATATGTCAGTCTCAATGGCCTTGCGAATGTATTGAAAGAGTTGAAAGCCCTGGATAGACTGCCTGATGCATCTTCTCGGGCAAGCCTTAAACGAGCCCGGGAAGGCGACTGCAAGGTTAATACAGCTCTCGGCCCAACCTTTTCTTCCTTGGGCATCCACATCGAGGAGCTGGATCGCCGGACGGGAACAACAAGTATTGTAGAGCACAAGCTTCCTTTCATACGCTTGCCAGCTGTGCTTTCTCATGCCATTGCGACATCCGATGGATTCCGAGAGTTTTTCTTGGACAGGCTCAGGGCATGCCCCAATGGGCCCACGAGCCCATGGAAGATGATTGTGTATGCAGATGAGATCACTCCCGGAAATGCTTTGAAACCACTCAACAGTAGAAAAATCCATGCATTTTACGTCAGCTTTGCAGAGATGGGCACCGAATTGTCATCGGAGAGCATGTGGTTCACTGTCCTGGCAGCTAGAAGTGATCTCGTCAACAAAATGGAAGGTGGCTTCTCAGAGCTTTTCAAACTCTTCATGGAAAAACTGTTTGAAGGGCCTTTCAACTTGAAGACGGGATGCATGCTGGATTTTGGCCAGGGGCGGCAACATTTGTTTTTTGCATCGCCTGCCATCTTCGTGGCGGATGAATCATGCATCAAGTTTGCCTGGGACCTCAAGGGAGCCTCGGGGTCAGTGTGCTGCTTGTTTTGCAGCAACATCGTTTCTCAGAACAACAGGCTTGATGTTCATGATGCCACGAATACCTTGGTCACCATTGCCGAAACCGACAGCTCGAAGTGGCGAGCTCGTGGCGACCAACTGCTGTGGGCCTCGCATGATCGTTTGGAGACCATTGCTGGTCGTGGCAGCAAGGCCGAGCTGCAGAGGTTGCAGCAAGCCATGGGAATAAACCACAACTATAAGGGTTTGTTGGGATCCCGCTTGCTTGCACCCTCCCCGACAACGATATATGACTGGATGCATTGTTATTTGGTGAGTGGACTTCTTCAGCTGGAGCTGGGACTCCTGATCCCATTGCTTTATGCTGCTGGACACAGTGTCAAGGAAATCCTGACCTTCTTCAGCTCCTTCGAGTGGCCTCATGGACTGCGACCCCATAAGCGAGAGGTTTTGAAAATCTTTGAGAAGAAGACAGTGCCGGGTGATTTCAAATGCTCGGCATCCCAAGGCCTCAGCATATACCCACTCTTGAGGCTTTTCGTGCTTCTCCATGCCAACTCGCTTACTGGAGCCGCTGTCAGAATGGCTTGCGATAGCTTTCTGAAGCTTTGCTTGGTGCTTGATTTTCTGCTGGAGGGGAACAAGGGCAAGGCAATCAGCCCACAGGAGCTGCGATCCCGCATTGTGGCTCACTCGCAAGCATTTTTGAAAGTTCACAGCGAAGATGCAGTGATTCCGAAATTTCATTATTCACTGCATTTGCCAGGCATGCTGCATCAGCATCAGAGGCTCGTCTCATGCTTTTGCCATGAACGGAAACATAAACAAATCAAGATGATCGCAAACAACCTCCACAAAGTCACGAAGACTTTTGAGTTCACTGTGATGGAGGATGTCTTGGGTCGTTCTTTCCTGAGCTTGCAGGAACATAAGTTCTGGACAAAGCCTTCGGTGACAAAAGCGAAGCCAGCATCGGAAGAGCTTGTCGCAGAACTGGTTGCTTCTTTCGGTTTACCACAAGCCATGGGATCCTTAGCAGGCCTTGTGGCTGACTTCCAGCCTGGGCAGACATGCGAGCGAGGTGACACAGTTGTCGTTGGGGCGGTTGTCGCCGAAGTGTGGCTGCATGTGCAGCTGGCGAACGGTGAGGTGCACTCGCTGGTATCTGTGTGGGAGCCACTCGGCAAAAATCGTTTCAGTGTTCGGGAGCAGCCGACCTGGATCCCTACAAACACGATCGACAAGGCTGTGCTGCACCGAAGGTGCAATGGAGAGGCACTCATTGTGCCATGAGCCCTGCCGGCGAGCAAAATGCCCTGCCTATATAGCGAGCCAACACAGCCTTCGACTGTTCACTTGCCACATCTCGTCAGCATGTAACCAGAGCCTTGCCTTCAAGTTCGCACCTGTATTTTGCTGCACCAGGTTACATGGCACATTCTTGGAGGCATCTCATACCCCTGGTTCCGGTGTTTTCCGAACGTTTCTTTAGTCATATTTTGTGGCCCATAAAACAAGTTAGCATACTTAGACAACTTAAGATATATCTGCTAAGTTCACATACTATGTGCCTTAACTCAGTACTGCTAAACCAACTTAGTGTAAATCTATGTCTACTTATATAAGTATGGTATCTGCTACATTTACTTAGCACCTTAGCCATGTATTTTCTAACCCCGCGCGGGCTTCCAAGAATGTCTCCATGCTTCGACGCCCCGCTCCGCCCTCCCCGCTCCACCCGCCCTCCATGGCCCTCGACCCCCATGGCCCCCATGGACCCATGCCTCCATGGCTCCTGGCGCCATGGCCCCCAATGTCTCCATGCTTCCACGGCCAACCCCCTACTTTGTGGCTCCTGGCCCCATGGCCCCATGGTCCCCTGGCCCTATGCCTCCAGACCCAATCAAATGACTTTAAAGGGCCCCAGTGCATGCCCGCCCGCTCCGCCCGCTCCGCTTGCTCCGCCCTTCCCCCGCTCCACCCGCCCTCCATGGCCCTCGACCCCCATGGCCCCCAGGACCCATCCCTTCGACCTCCATGGCCCCCATGGACCGATGGCTCCTATGAGCTTAGGGTTGAGGGTTTTCTTGGACGTTTAGGGTTTAGGGTTTCAGGGTGTAAGGGTTGTAAGTTTAGGTTTCGGGGTTCCGGGTTTCGGCATTGAGGTTGTAGGGTTTTGGGTTTAGGGCCTTCAGCGTGCCATCAGCAAGACTCTCTTAGATCTGGGGTCGGCGGCACTGGCAGTAGCCATTAAATAATGATGACCCCAATAAAGTACCCCTAATCCCAGAAGCCCCCAGAGGTTTGCATCACGTTGTTGCCGGGTAGTGGAGATAAGGCTGCTCAGGTTTCCGTCACAAGCGCGGCCTCGCTGGATCAGGTGACCCTGGGGAGATTTGACCATGCTTTATTCTCTTGTTGTGTGCCATGTTTCGGGTTTAGGCTTTAGGGTTTCTGTTGCGGTTGTTGTTGCATGTGCAGCGATGCGCCAACATAGAAAGAACACCGTCCGTGTCTGCGAAGAACGCACGTCCAGTCTTATTAAGCTTCTGAGCGGTGGAACAGCTATCGCTAAGCTGAGCGGTAAGGCCTCAGCACCAACACCAACACCAACATCCAAGCAACACTCATGAAGTCTAAAATCTTGTGACTTCCCCTTCAACTCCCAGGAAGAAGAAAGCGCCTAGCCTGCGACTACCGAAGCTCAGAGCCTGAGAGGAGGTTTCAGGGCTTACGATCTTTGAGCGGCCCCGATGGAGCTCGAGACCCGAGACCTTAACAAAAAGTAAGCTACAAACCCTGAAGCCAAATCTTGGCTGCACTTAGGAGGGTAGTAAAAAACAAACTTTTAGCTGCCTTATTAGGCAACCCAGTAAACCGAAAAAATCTAAGGATCTAAAGTTACAGTAAAGCACCAAAAGGAAATTTCACCCTGGACCTCGGGCGGCTGATGCTTGTTCAACGCCTGCGAGCGTCTTGGAGCCCCCAAACCTTGCACTCCAAAACCCCCGAATCCCAAACGGAAACGCTCAAGAACAACAAAGCCCTAAAAGCCCTAAACACCCTAAACGCCCTAAATCCTAAATCCTAAACCCTAAACCCTAAACCCTAAACCCTAAACCCTAAACCCTAAACTCAACAGGGTCCGAGAGTCCCTATAGCACAGTGCCTGGGAAAGTTCGGTTGTACCGTCTAGCGCTTTACCGTTTTGGGCTACACGTCTACGATAGTTCCTATTCAGGGTTTAGGGTTTAGGTTTAGGGTTTCGGGTTTAGGACTGTTATGTATAAGGGGGAACATCCCAAGGTTTAGGGATGTAGGGGTTTACAGGTCTAGGGTCTGGTGTCGTGTGAGGAGCGGACAAGATTACAGAGGATCATCAGCGATACTCAAGAGTCACAACATCCAACTGCCTGCGATCTCTCGAAGTCTACCATGTTTTCGTGGGACAATTCGTGTCTCATGGGTTTAGAAAATTTTGGAGTGCGAGGCAGAGCGATTCTGAAGAGTCTCGCGGTGCACTACATGGCACTGCCACATCATTCGGAGTTGGACGAGTCTTTGCAAGCTGAACGTCGCTCTGAAAGCCCATCGAAGCCAAAAACTGCCCGATTTCTGTGTCGGAAGCACACGTCCCTAAGCCCTTAGCCCCAAACCCTCAACCCCAAACCGTCAGCCCTAAACCCTCCAGCTAATTCACTCTGTAGAGTCATGCATCAAGGCGGTATCCCTGAAGTTTACACACCCCTAGATCACCTGGGCATACCGGCTTCGGGTTTAGGGTTTAGGGCTGCAAAGTGCCTTTCTAGACCTAAACCCTGAAGCCTGTGGCCCTGCCTGCTGCACTGCCTCTGCTTTTTGTGCCAGCGACGACGCAGCACTTCGCACTTTCTGCATCCAAATGGCCTGTGAAGATTTCATGGGTTCGGGGTTGAGGTTGGAGAGCTGCAAATTCGAGGCGTTGAGGATCAGATGCTCATGCTCTGTGCACAACTCGAAACCCCATCATCCCAGAACCTGCCCTCCACCACCCGAAACAAAGTCCCAGAGTCCTCTACTACTTGCTTTAGAACCTCCCAAGAATAGAAAAAACAATACTCCCTTTCTTGCCCTTATAAGGAAGAATGTTGGGGCGGGGGGGGAGGGTGCTTAAGCAATAGCTAGTAGTCCTAGAGGGCCAATTGCCCCAAGAACCTCAGACTGCCATTCCAGCACCCAACCCTCCAGAGCCTGAAGATCACCCCCTCAGGATTTGGGTGTTGGGTCGAGTCTTCCGGGCTTCATGCTACTTCAGGACCCCTCAACCCGAAACCCTAAACCCAGAACCCTATCAGCCCTAAGCCCTAACCCTAAACCCTAAACCCTAAACCCCAAACCGTGAACCCCAAACCTTAAGGACCCAAAGCCGGAAGCTCCACCTTCGACTTCGAGAGATGGTTCTCCTTCGGCCCGTCGTTGTTGCCTTCTCTTCGACTCTTCGGGTGATAGCGCTCTCAGGGGAACTAGGCCCAGCAGTACCCTTTTAGGGTTTAGGTTTTAGGGTTTAGGGTAACCTAGGTGCCCTTTTGTGGCTTTAAGGGCATGTAAGGGAACCCAAACCCCAAAATGGAGTAAGGGCCTACTCTGGGTCCTAGCAAATCAACCTACACCATCCTGCGCCCTAAAGTCTACAACCCGCGAAGAGCCACATGGAATTTGAGACGGTGCAAGGTGTCTGGCCTGTTGAACTCATTACGAATAAAGAGCGTGTAAAGATCATCGTGGTTTTGGGTGCCTTTTCCGGAAGTATACTATGCCCTCGTTAAATATAGGACAAAAGGCTTGAAGGACCACCTAGATTGTGAGGATGCAGTACTTTCAAGATTTAATTGGAAAGAACGGGCGTTTCTTAGCAGTGGATGAACTTTACTCGCTCACTAGTTGGATGTCGGAGTGAACACGCAGGGTCTGGGAGATTAATCCAATGAACAGCTGAATGGCACTTCGAGAAGTTGTTTTCGCAGCATGGCTCGAGCTTACGGATGTGGGTGTTAGATGTGTGAACCGTGCAAAAGTTTGGGTGATGCGTGGTAACGTTTTCACAACAATGATGCTCGAGATACCCAAGAATGGAGAAATAGGCACACCATTGAAACAACGTGGTCGTGGTACTGCATAGATCTCCCCGCCCCTGCAAAGCACGATGCCCCATACCCCCGAAACTCTCGCCATCGAAGCGTCTGAAGATCTCTAGAAACCCTAAAACCCTAAACCCTGAACCCTAAAACCTTAAGACCTTAAGCTTAACCCCCCCCCCCCCCCCCAACTCCCAAACTCCTCAAGAAACCTTGAGCCCCCCCAAGCCCCGCGCCTCGCTCCCAGTGTTCCGGCTCAATTTCGAAGAAGATCTTTGCCTGAACCGAAGGGGCGAACCCTGAACCCTAAACCCTAAACCCTTGGTGCTGGGTCCGGGGTCCGATCCAGCAATATGTTGCGCCTGCTTCAGTGTCCCGCCTCCCCTTCCCCACGCCAGCCCCCCCCCCCCCCCCCCCCCCCCCCCCCCCCCCCCCCCCCCCCCCCGAACCCTAAACCCTAAACCCTAAACGTTTAGGGTTTAGGGCTGGCCTCCCTCCCGCGTTGAAAATGAGAGGCCGGAGCCTTTGAAATCCGAAGCTCGCAGGGCTGAACGTGCAAGAGCTTGGCCTGTAAACCGGGCCTTTGAAACAGCCCGCTGGGCTTAAGATTGGTTTAGGGTTTAGGGTTTAGGGTTAAACCGGGCTTTTGAAATCAACAGCCCGCTGGGCTTAAGATTTGAGGGGCTGGCCCTTAAATCATCAGGCCAGGTCTTCAGGGTTTAGGGTTTAGGGTTTAGGGTTTAGGGTTTAGGGTTTAGGGTTTAGGGTTTAGGGTTTAGGGTTTAGGGTTTAGGCCTTTGAAATCAACAGCCCACTGGGCTTAAGAATTGAGGGGCTGCCCTTTCATTTCAAGAGGCCAGGCCTTTTGAAATCAACAGCCCGCTGGGCTTAAGATTTGAGGGGCTGTGCCCTTAAATCATCAGGCCCTAAAAGCCTTGCCGTTACGACCACATCCCAAGCCCTCGGCTTAAGAATTGAAGCGCTGCACTTGGGGTTTAGGGTTTAGGGTTTAGGGTTTAGGGTTCAATTTCAAGAGGCCGGGCCTTTTGAGCACTTGAAATCCCAAGCCTCCTGGCCTTTGAGAGTTCAAGTGGCCGTTGCCTTTATTTGCCAAGATGGGCAGCCTGGGGGCCGCTAGGTCCAAAAACGCAAAATTACAAACGCTTAGGGTTTAGGGTTTAGGGTTTAGGGTTTAGGTTCCCCCCCCCCCGCCCCCCTCCCCGGGAATATCATTTAGGAGACCTGGCTGGACACATCCCCAAACAGTCGCGGAGAAATCCTCAGAGGGGCCCAAAATACCCACGCCAGGAGTGCTTAGGTCTTCCAGAATTTGAAATACTGAGTTCAGGCTTGTGGAGGAACACCAGCTGCTGTAGGGCACATAACGCTGCACTTACAACACTGTGTCTACAGCCTCAAAGTCCTGACAGGATTGGAGTCTCTGGGCTCGGGGAGTGCAACCCATAAGCCAGGTCTCTCTGGCAATACCCTAAACCCTAAACCCTAAACCTTAAACCCAAAACCCTTAACCCGAAACCCTAAAACCCTAAACCCTGAAGAACCACTGCCCCGAGCACGTTCCAGAATTCTCCAGCAACCTGACCCCAAAACCCTGACATCACTCCAATCTTTTCAGTCCTGAAGGCGGGGTCGGTTTAGGGTTTAGGGTTTAAGGCCCGAACTGACCCCCCACCCAATGCCTCTCTTTTGGACCGGACCTTGCTGGGCCTGGCGAGTGGGTGGCAATAAGGCGTATGAAAATGGGATGTTCCCCCTTATACTAACAGGGATTATAGTACCCCCGATTGTAATATATCATAATCCACAGTAAGGGCTGCTAGTATAAGGAGGAACATCCCAACTTCTAAAGTTTACAGAACGTCTGGATCCTGATCTGTGCGAGCAGCAACCCTGATTCCTAACTTTAACCCTCAACCCTGAACCCTAAACCCTGGATTCAGGAAGCTGCTTGCTTGCAGCTGGGTGGCTCACTGCCCACCTCGGTTTTTCTGAGCTCACGCCGCTCAGGCTTGGGTACAGTACAAAGGGTGCGAGTTTGGGTACTCTTGCGGACTCCCAGAAGCGACATCGTGTGCTGCCTAACTAACAGGAAAAGGATTCCTCAACCTGGAATCGTCTGAGCCCTCAAGCTTGAAGCCCCATCTTCAAGCCAAACTGTGCGTTCCAGAGATAAGGATTCCGGGCCGAGGACGGATCAGTCCCTAATCCCATGTTTAGGGAAGAGCGCAGGCAAGACTTGTTGGGTTGGGGCTTGGACCTGTTAAGCTCCACTAATTTCCAGTTCCACACGCCTAAGGGGCAGTGCCTGTACGAACATCCATGGACCGACGCCCTCACACTGAGCCCAGATTCAAGTTGTCACATGGTTTAGGGTTTAGGGTTTAGGGTTTAGGGTTTAGGGTTTAGGGTTTAGGGTTTAGGGTTCAGTTTTGGGGGGTTTCCAAAAATTCGGGGTACCTTCTTGGGGTCCTTGTTAATTATAAGGGGATCCTGCTACTTGGATATCGTAAGCCCCCATATTCCCCCTTCAACATGCACCCCAAGATCCCAAAACTCAAGCTCCCCCTCAAAAGCGGGTTTAGGGTTTAGGGTTTAGGGTTTAGGGTTTAGGGTTTAGGGTTTAGGGTTGTGACCCGAACTCCTACATGACGTAGGATCCGAGCCGGAGTCCAAGATGTATAGGGTTTAGGGTTTAGGGTTTAGGGTTTAGGGTTTAGGGTTGTGACCCGAACTCCTACATGACGTACGATCCGAGCCGGAGTCCAAGATGTATAGGGTTTAGGGTTTAGGGTTTAGGGTTTAGGGTTTAGGGTTTAGGGTTTAGGGTTGCCCAAAAGCTCAGTCATGTTGCAAACTTTGGCGAGCAGTTCAGCTGCACTTGCAGGGCTTGGCAAAGCCTGGACAAGTCAAACATGGAGCGTCGAAGCCTCAACCCAAGAGCCTTTTTCATGACGGCTTGACGGATCCACCTGTCAAGCTAGAGGGTTTAGGGTCTAGAGTTTAGGGTTTAGGGTTAGCCTACGCTCATCCCAGCAAGCAAGTCACAAAACTGAACGCTGAGCCTCAAGGACAAAGAGCTCTGCTTGAAGGCTCTTGGTTTTCTGGGCAAGGGGCTCTAAGAGAGAACCCCGTTTGCTAGCACATGCCCATGTCATGAACACTTGCATGACCCTTGACAGCAGCCCCTCAACTCGAAATCCTAAACCGTAAACCCGAGACGTTTCATGGGGCTGCTGAAGCCAGCACCACAGTCCATCTGCCGAAGTCGATATCCGAGTTTTGGCGTTCAGGGTTCCAGATAGGCTTGGAATGTGTTCCGGTTGGTCTAAGACCAAGGGGCGACAAGATGTATAGGACTTACAACCCTAAGGTACGGTTTTGGACTGTCGGTGAAAGGTTTAGAAGTGCCTTAACGCTTCTTGTCCAGCCCTCATGCAATTTCCGCAACTTCATCACTGCCTCAGTCAATCATAAAAACTCTCGCTGCCTCGAAAACCTTGCTCGGGGGTCCTGTCTAACTACGATCGAGTTCATGGTTGGGGCAGCATTGAAAATTAAAATCTCTATTCCTTATTGAGTTTAAGTACCCTTAAGAATCTAAAATCTTACCACACTATGACAAAGAGAAACCTGAGTGTGTACATCAGGGCTCCGGGATCTGTCTACATGCTTCTCAAGGTTGCTGTCGGTTGAGGAACCCAGCACTCCCCAACCAAGACCTGAGCCCGCAAGGCTACGACAAACCCTCGCCTATATACATATATATATATATAATATGATATATGTATATATATATATAGATATATTATTATATTGTATTCTATATATACATATATATATATATATACTGCGCGCCTGTCTTTGAGGCTCTGCGCCGCTGTAGCCAAGCGGGCGCTACGTGCCCCTGGCAGGGCCTGACGGCGGTTGCGGGGTTTATCCAATCTCTCCAAATCTCTTGCTTCTCGCATGAACCCGCAGCCTTCGAGGTCAAACCGCGATTCGAGAAGCTCTAACCGCTGGAGATCTGAGAGAATCGAGGTCCGAAAGAAGTGAGATTCATGAATACTTCAACCTACCCCAGAAACAGCTCTTGCGCGATTTTCCGCATGCGCTTCACCGTGTGCATGCTGAAGCCCCAAGCCCGACATTCGCCGAAGTCTTGAAAGCCGAACATGTGCCTGTAACAGCGACAAGGTTGCAGTTTTAGGGTTTTGGGCTTCGGGTCTGTGTTGATTGCAAGTGTTTGGGAGTTAGACAGATAGGTCAAGAGCCTGGGCTCTGCATCCGGAACGCCACGAAAGCTGGACTAGACTAAGTTAAGAAAAGGCAGGCGTCTGCATTTAAGTCCTGCTTGCTAACCTCCAGCGAACTGTTGGCATACTGTTTCCCATCCCACTCGGCATTTCTTGCCGAGCTGCCTAGTTCACAGAGTTGTTTAAGAGACATATCCGTAAACTTACACGCCACAAACGATGATTCGTGACTATTTCCTCTGGTATTTCAGCCTTACCCCCTAAGCCACGGCAGCAGTCTCACCGCAGCGACACCGCATGGGTGAAGAGGTAAGAGTGGTGGAGAGGTTTACTGGGGCTTACAGTTAGAGCTTAGCAAAAAAGAACTGGCAAAAGATGAGCTCGAATGCATGGGCAAGCGTCATAAGAGTTCAGAAGGTCCGTTGGGAGACTTTCTGCATCATGCTTGAATGAGTAGTAAAAACTGAACAAGCCACAAACCTCCAGTGCCTGCGCAACCATGTTGGACAGCGCGGATGTTTCGCGCCAGACGGCATCTGAGTTTGTGAGCTGAGACCAGGGGAATGCCAAGAGCCGATCGCCCCCTTAATTACACCGTTCTGCAGACCTGGTGCAGCGGCCAAGTTGCTAAGTTACTACTGCACGGCCGACAACCGATGAACCCGGATCTAGATCTGCAGGCCTCACTGAGCCGCGCGCCCTTCTTGAGGTGGTGATCAAAGTATTTGTATGGATTGTTCTGCACAAGCGTGTCATGATGATTCGTAGGCCACGGGCATGTGTATGCTCGACGTATTGAAGCACTAGTTGTGTAGGGCAGCAGGTAGGCGTCTTCGACATGGGACATCCTTCTTGCTTCGCATGGCGTAGACATGTCTCTTCCAGAAGTTCAGTTGTGTTCACAATATTCGTCGTCGAAGGAGGGTCCAGATCTTGAGACATGTGGCATCTCGAGTGAATAGGCCTGATTGAGATGAATGCAACGACGCATTTTGGGGGATTGAGGGCTTGGGTGACCAGGATAGCACGGCAAGATGCTGCAAGCAAGCGGCGGATCTGAATGCCGCGTCGCGGAAAGCGATGAAAGAGGATACCTCGAGTTGAATCGGGGCGACGCCCTTGTGTTTCATCTTTACGTTTGGGATGAGTTCATGTGAGTTTGAAAGGGGCTCGATGGCCAAGCAATTGATTTTGAAGGCGTTCCGCACGGAATGTTCTTGCGACGACCACAAGACTTGACCTAGAATTGAGCTCCCCACCCCGCACCCTGGACCCCCGAACAGTCACACGACTTTATCGAGGAGGCCCCTCCTGAAGCGGGTCCAACATTACAGTTAATTAAGGCCTTTAGGGTTTAGGGTTTAGGGTTTCGGGTTTAGGGTTTAGGGGACCGAAGTTGAGATATTACGACATTCTGGTATGAAAGCTTTTTGTGGTCTCCCACGCAACGCATAACATCGTCAACCCTCGGAACACAGGGTCCTTGCAAAGACCCCAGGCCCTAACAGCTGAATCTCACATCCGAAGCTGAGGCTTTGATTTCCATGTTCCCCTCTTTGACCTAAACCCTAAACCCTGACCCTAAGGGTCCATGTACCTAATTATTATATACTTGGGCCCCGAAGTCTTTCTATATCATGTACTTTAAAGCCCAAGTATTCCCTATTTAGGTACATGGACCCTTAGGGTGAGCCCTAAGCCCTAAACCTCTCTGAACCCCTTGATCACAACTAAACCCTAAACCCTAAACCCTAAACCCTAAACCCTAAACCCTAAACCCTAAACCCAAAACCCAAAACCCAAAACCCAAAACCCAAAACCCTAAACCCTAAACCCTAACTAAACCCTAAACCCTAAACCCTACAGTTGCGGGGCAAGCGACGAAGCCTCTCGGCCACAACTGGATCCTTTCCATTGATTGGTTCAAGATTCAACGATAGGACAGGAGCTCAAACCTTCCGATTTCTGATACGACTATTTGCTTCTAAGAACCCCCTTAAAGAATCAGAAAGATTCTTCCTTATAAGGGCAATATAGGGATTATGTGTTTTTGTTTTGGGGGGGGCCTTAAGCAAATAGTAGAATATTCCTAGCGCTTCGCGTATCGCGCACAAGTGATCTGCAAAGACCGAGCGCAACATCTGGCAGTGGGTAATTAGAATAGTCTCGGATTCTGTTTCCCCGCCCTTGGCCCCATCACATGGCCTTTCCAGCAAAGGCCCTCCAGGCTGTAATATAGGGGCCTTAACAATTAGAACAGGGTTTTGGGGGTTATTATAGTATATCTATAAAGGGACCATAAGAGAATACTTTAAGTAATTCTTCCGACCCCTATAGTAGCATCTCAACCGCTCCTTAACCAATAAACCCTAAACCCTAAACCCTAAACCCTAACCCTAAACCCTAAACCCCTCCCCCTCCCCGCCCCCCCCTGGGGCCTCGAGATCGAGGGAGCAGGCCACGAAGCGCCTAAAATCGACCACCTTGTCCTGGAAGCCCTGCGCCGGCGCTTCGCGCAGCAGAGTTCGGGGTTTGGGGGTCCCAGAGCTGCTCTGCGAAATTTCGGGTCTGGGGTTTAGGGTTTAGGGTTTAGGGTTTAGGGTTTAGGGTTTAGGGTTTAGGGTTTAGGGTTTAGGGTTTAGGAGAGCTGCTGCGACGTTTCGGGTCCGGGGTGTGGCATTTGGGGATCGAGGGCCGAAGGTGTTGCATGTTTCGAAGGGCTCGGGCTCGGGGCTTATAGGGTTAGGGTTTAGGGTTTAGGGTTTAGGGTTTAGGGTTTAGGGTTTAGGGTGTATGGGCGCAGGGTCAGAAGAGTCATCAAGGGCTTGCTCGGAGCTTTCCGTGCTTGCTCACTGGAAACCCTAAACCCTACATCCTAGATCCTAACCCCTAAACCCTAATCCCTAATCCCTAAACCCTAAACCCTAAACCCTAAACCCTAAACCCTAGCCCTAAACCCTTGAAGAACGCAAGCATCAAGCCAGCGCCTTGCTCATCCAAGCCATAACTTGAGTGAGCTCCTTAGCAGAGCGAAGTACCTAAACCCTAAACCCTAAACCCTAAACCCTAAACCCTAAACCCTAAACCCTAAACCCTAAACCCTAAACCCTAAACCCTAAACCCTAAACCCTAAACCCTAAACCCTGACCCTAAGGGTCCATGTACCGAATTATTATACACTTGGGCCCCGAAGTCTTTCTATATCATGTACTTTAAAGCCCAAGTATTCCCTATTTAGGTACATGGACCCTTAGGGTTACTCCTTACTTCACTGTCACAGACATGTTGGGCTCATGGTCGCGGACGGATGATTGTAAGAGTTGGGCGAGTAGGAATTGGCGAAAACGCGAATTGCACACTGATCCACGGAAAGCCCTGAACCCTGAACCCCCACGTCCGGAGAACTTAAACCCTAGCCCTCCGCCCCTCTCGCCGCCGCCCCCCCCCCCCCCACCCCCAACAAAAGGGTTTAGGGTTTAGGGTTAAGGGTTTAGGGTTTAGGGTTTAGGGTTTACGGTTTAGGGTTTAGGAAAAAGATGGGTAGCCCAAAGTGCCTGCAAAACCTTTCAAAGCGTGACGAGATCCAGGTTTCAGGATTTGCCGAGTATGAACCCTCAAGGTCAAGCTGCCCTGAACCCCGTCAGGGGCTTTGAACCCTAAACCCTAAACCCTAAACCCTAAACCCTAAACCCTAAACCCTAAACCCAGGGTTCAGGGGGGAGCATAGGGCTCAGGGCTTCGGAGAGCAGGAGTGGTCATCGAATATTCCCTTTCAGCAGCTGAGGCAGCGGCCCGATGGGTCCAGGTCGGCACTGCTTGGCGCAGCCCTGCCTGCAGGTCTTCCAGAGTCACCTCCGCGTTCAGGGTTTAGGGTTTAGGGTTTAGGGTTTAGGGTTTAGGGTTTAGGGTTTACGGTTTAGGGTTTAGGGTGAGTCGTGATCTGGCGCAAACTTCGGGATTGTAGGCTTGGAAGAGGTCATGCGGGATTTGATTGCTGAGCCATATGGTGCTGAACCTCGTTCGTCCAACGAAAGCCCCAAAAACAACATGTTCGGAAAACGTGCAAACAACCTGTCGCACGCATTTTTCGACTCGAAAGACTTTTGCACCGGGGTTTGACAAGTAAACGAGACCCGTCAGCCGTTGTAAGGCTGACTCCCCAACCCTAAACCCTAAACCCTAAACCCTAAACCCGAAACCCTCTTCCTGGGCCTCACCATGGCCATTGACATCGAGGGTGCAAAATGACTCCAGCAAGTCCCTCTCCTGGTGTCCAAACAGGTCGAAGCAAGGAAGACGAGGTGTTCACTTTGCAGGTGCACGGGCTTAGGGTTTAGGGTTTGGGCTTTGGGGTTTGGGGTTTAGGGTTTAGGGTTTAGGGTTAGGGAAGGCAAGGGAAGGCAATCGCAACGCAACGAGATTCTGCAAGGCCAGCACATTCGGGCTACGTAAGGCTCAGAGACCCTCGATCCACCTAAACGTCTGCTTTCAGTGCCTTGCAACCCAGCTCTAGCCATCCTGAACCCTAAACCCTAAACCCTAAACCCTAAACCCGAAACCCTAAACCCTAAACCCCGAAGATCGGGTTCTCGGGTTTGGGAAGGAGGGCGTTGGGCCAACTAGAGCTTGAAGGTTCTGGAAGTCTGCGTTTTTTTTAGCCAGCAGGGGGACATTGAAAGCTCGAAGACCACAAAGCTGTCGAAGATCTATGTATCCGACAATCGTGTCTGAAGCCCGCCCGGTAACTTCCTCAAGCACTATAAGCCCCGAAAACTGCGGTGCGAAGACCCATACTACAAAAAGAACTCGATCAGAAGAGACATGCGCTAAACCCTCAAGCCAAGAGCCTACCTGCCACAATAGCTCGAAAAATGGAAGTTCAGGTGTGGAGCCAGGAAAAGGTCTCTCAGCCTTTCAGGCCGGCATTTCTACTCTAGGTGGCCCAGTAACCTAGGATATAAACAGGGTGCCATTTTTTGCTTCTAGGGGGGACCCTAAACCCTAAACCCTAAACCCTCAACCCTCAACCCTCAACCCTCAACCCTCAACCCTAAACCCTAAACCCTAAACCCACCCCCCCCCCCCCCCCCAAAGAGGGAATAAGGTACTACTGGGCATCCTAGGACTCCCATCCAGCTTCAGGGATCAAGTATGCAGGCTAATTCATGGGTCACAGGTTTGGCTAATCTCCGGAGTCGCGGTTTATGGTTTATGGTTTAGGGTTTGCAGGGTGTTTGCATACATGCCTTGAGCAGAGGCCGAACCTCGAATGAATCTGACACGGAAGCCATCAAAACCACAATAGAGCAGACTAATATCGGGGTCGGAATAATTACTAGTAGTATTCCCTCATGGTCCCATTAAAAATATACTATAGTAACCCCCAAAACCCTATTAAAATTATTCAGGCCCCTATGTTACATGAAGCTTCTTTGCAGTTGAGACCCAGGACGACTTGCCTGATTATAAACGTTCCACTACCAAATCTCAGGCCCTAGGCTAAACCCCCCCCAAATGAGCGCGAAGTTCCATGAAACCCACATGCCAAACCGACCCCAAACCCTAAACCATCCACATGGGCATTTCCCAGACTAGGGGCACCCCTTTTATAGTCAAACTAGAGTAGAATCCCCTTAAAGAGACGCCCAAAAGGGGTGCCCCTATTTTCGGAAGCCCCCCATATGTTGAAAGACAATCGGCCTCTCTTGCGAGGGAGCTGTGCCGAGCCAGAACCTCCTTAGGCACAAGCCGGGAGGAAACTTGGGCTGACAGATAGGGCTTTCTGTTTCGGGTTCAGGTGCATAGGGGTTAGGGTTTAGGGCTTAGGGTTTAGAGTTCGGGTTTGCAAAGTTTACAGCCTACCGCATTGGGTTATATAAGTAGAAGCTCCTTTGGTGTTCAGGGATTAGGGCCATAGCTGTGCGAGTCAGCGTCAAGGGCAGCAGATTCCTGGACCCTTTGGTAATGCCGAAACATCCCGGGGTGTCATACAGAACGCCAAGTTGAACGTGTTTAACCCTAAACCCTAAACCCTAAGCCCTAAACCCTAAACCCTAAACTGAAAACCCTAAACCCAAAACTTTAACTCGTCATGGTTGGGTGCCTTGAGGCCTTGAGCTTAGCCCAGAACAGCAACCACTGCAGCCGTAAGGCCAAGGTGGTGAAAAGCATCTTCCGACCAGAGCTGCGGGCATTCCTTGCCGAAAAGGACTTGTCAGGAGCCCCTTTTGAAGCCAGGCAGCACTAAACCTTGAACATTGTTTCTTAGCTGGTGCTGGCTGGAAAGCTGACGCGAGCCCCAAAGTCGTTGCGAAGCGTGCATGCGAGTAGAACCGACTCAAGCAAACCTGGCGCATGCCACAAGCCACAAGCCACAAGCCACAAGCCACAAGCAACAGACAACAGGCAAGAGCAGCAACAACAGCAAGAACAGCAACAGCAGCAACAGCAGCACTCACAACAATCATCATCACCACGAGGAAGCAATGTTTCCTGAACTCGGAAATGTACACGTCCAGTGCGCTCAGATTCCTTGGCCCCATATAATAATCAGCGCCCCTGTTTGGGTTTGGTTACTTTATACGGGAACCCAGAACCACAAAACAGGGCAACTGGTCCGGGTGGGCTACCGAGGCTTAACGTTATACTTCGTCCGAGAAGGCAACTCGTGCAAGCCATGCGTCTTCAGCATCACCTTAGCCGTGCAAAGCAAACTACTATTTGCTTAAGAACCCGCCATAAATTAATTATAGAATAATACCTATTTTGCTCTTAAAAGGAAGAACTTTCTTCATTTTTTGGAGGTTCTCAAAGGAGAGCATAAGAAAGAGTGTCTTCCCGGAATGCTCTTGATGCCCAACATCTACTCTCAAACATCTTGCGCTACTTCTTGGGTCTGAACAGGCCTGAACCATCAAATGTATTAAGCCGCTGGTGTTTCAACCCTCAGCTCTACAGCCGTAGACCGTCTCCTCACAGATCTTCAACCACTGGATGCCCTACAGATATATCAACTTGATGAGGCTTGGCAACTGGGGACCAATGGTCAATTGAGCTGAAGGTTCAGGTGTGCGCTTCGGGGCTTGAGAGCTACTGGGTTTCGGGGATGAGGGTCATCCAATTCCCCCATAATTCCCAACTCACCCACGAACCGCAAGCATCCTTGGTAGCGTAGTAACCATATTGTCATAAGGGTTGGTTACTTTGCAGGGAAACCAGGACCCCAAAAAAATGACGGGGCTACCAAGCATCCCGCACCGCAAACCTCAGAGAGCTCAGGGTGTGGCCTCGGAACGTGATGGCTGAAGCGACATCGTCTGCCTGATCAGCAAGAGAGTTTAGGGTTTAGGGTTTAGGGTTTAGGGTTTAGGGTTTAGGGTTTAGGGTTTAGGGTTTAGGGTTTCTACCCACTCGTGTCTTCAGGGTTGATACCTTTTCAGACGTCGAGTATGGCTCCATAGCCTGGCAGGGCTAGGGTGAGCACCCATGCGTGCTGCCAAGTAAAAGCTGCCACGATAGCCAAGCTAGCCTGTGCACTCTCCACGAAAAAAAGGCTCCAGACTCATGCTGTGCGTTCGTGTCACCCTCCTCAACCCAAACTCTAGACCCCCTAAATCCTTACTGTACAGAGCCCTCAAGCCGTGAACCCCTAGACCCGCACTCATCAAAACGAAGCTTCGATCTGATTCCAGCAGGCCTTGCCGGAGCTGCGAGCCACGGCGATGCCAGGGCAGCGTCCGCCGTAATCCTGCAGGATCTCCGGATCTGTAGCAGGCGTAGCTTGTGGCTTTGAGATTTGAGGGTTAGGGATTGGGATGTTGCCCCCTACACTAGCAATCCTTAAAAGGATGATGAACAGGCGTACTCGAATCCCTACTATAGGGGCTGTCGGTATAAGGGGGAACACCCAAGTTAGGGGCTTATAAGGTTTGAGAGCTGCGGTTTGAATCTCAAGGTTTGGCTGCCGGAGTTCGGCGTGCCAGGTGTAGTTGATGTGCGCTTCGCGCGGTGCGAGGTTCCGCTGCTCGGTTACAAAGATGAGTTGGACTCAGGGTCCGATGGGGTGTAGGGCTTATAAGGGTTAAGGGTTTAGGGTTTAGGGGTTCCATTCCTAGGCTGCCCAGTAACCTAGGCTTAAAAAAGGTGCCCTTTTTTGCTTAAAGGGGTTTATAAGGGAACCTAAACCCCCAAAAAGGGAATAAGGGTACTACTGGGCATCCTAGATTCTAAGTCAAAATATGGCCAGACATTGTGTCGCTGTCTGTCGGAGAGCCTGCCCAAGACACGCGCCATGGACTGGACAAAGTGGACAACGAGTTGTGACGCCCGAAATGCTTGCGATCCCTAGAGAATCGAACTTCCACAGACCAAAAGCAAATCCTCACCCAGCCTCTTCTCGAAGGACAAGTCCAGCAACTGCTCCAGCAAATCTACGGCCTCTGCCCAGGGAGGAGGGTTGAAGACTCATGGGGACTTTCAACATGGGTAGGGGAGCGTTTGCCTTCATCATGCCCTTTTGATCCCGTTTATCCGAAAACGCGGCTAACTCTACTTATAACTTATAAGGCTATCCCCTGACACTGTTTAGGATGAATTTCCGCACTGAGGGTTCCGAATCTAATCCACCAGATTCCCGAAAAAAACCCAGGAGCCTGGACCCCTACATGCTTTGGGGTTTGGGGGAGCGCCGATTGAATGAGGTTGGAGATCCCAAGGTTCTCGAACTTTGTTGAGCACCCCCAATTCGCTGCCAGAGTTCCTTTCACGGAATGCCTGTAACATGTGCTGGCAACTTGTCGCCAGGCAATGGCGAAGAAAACTCTTGACGTCCGTTACAAGTTAGAACAAAGCTGGAAGAGAAAAAAAACCGCCGGCCTTAACCCCACTAGCAAAAGCCCAAATGACCCCAAAATGACCCCAAAATGACCCCAAAAGGACCCCAAAAGCCCCCCCCCCCCCCCCCCCAAAAGGCCCCCCCAAAATCCTAAACCCTAAACCCTAAACCGCCCTCAGAGTCCCTACGCTGAGAACGGTACCTGAGGAGCCCTGGCCCTCTCTTCCGCGCGGACGGGCAAGCTTTGTCCCGCCTGGCGAAGGCTCCCCGGAGTTTCTGATCCAGAGGTAGAAATTCGTGGGACGTCGTGGGGTCGAGTTCGAGCGGAGGTTTCAGTTTTGGGTTTAGGTTTAGGTTGGGTTTATGAGCTTAGGGCCCCAGACCCTAAACCCTAAACCCTAATCCCTAAGCCCTAAACCCCAAACCCCAAAGCCAAAGGACTCCTGACTCCCAGCTGCAAGCTCGGGTTTCAAGTAGACATCGCCATATAAGGAGTCGGTAGATTCTGTTCTTGTCACAGGTTGGGTTTAGGGTTTAGGGTTTAGGGTTTAGGGTTTAGGGTTTAGGGTTTAGGGTTTAGGGTTTAGGGTTTAGGGTTTAGGGTTTAGGGTTTAGGGTTTAGGGTTTAGGGTTTAGGGTTTAGGGTTTAGGGTTTAGGGTCTCGAAGCATTCTTTGACCTGCTGGAGTGGTAGGATAATGCCTGTTCAGCTCGTGCAGGAGTGGGACCATGGCCTCTAAAAGTAATACGGGGGTCAGAGTAATCTCTAATAGTATTCCTTTAGGGTCCCTGTTCACGTGTACTACAATGACACCCAAAACCCTGTTCCAATTATTCAGGCCTCGCTAGGCAGGGGTGTCGAGTGCGTATCACGCTCCCCGTCCAGTGTGCCCTAAACCCTAAACCCTAAACCCTAAACCCTAAACCCTAAACCCTAAACCCTAAACCCCCAAAAGGGGGGGGGGGGGGGGGTGATTATAGTATCATTACAAAGGGACCATAAGGGATTAGTAATTATCCTGACCCCTACCTTACACACTCGACCGGTCGCAAGTTCAGTGTGCTTCATGCTAAGCCTCCAGTGTGCAGCATGTTCAGTTACCAAAAACCAAAGCGGCTGACGATCATCTTATGTTGCCTTTCCTTAGGTTTCATTGAGTTGGCTGAGATCTTGGAAATGGTGTTGCCTTTCGTTAGGGTCGCGTTCCTTCCGTAGGGCTTTACTTCGACCTTTGGGGCAATGAGGTCACCGGTCTTCGGCAGTGGCGTTACCTTTCCCTATAGGGGTCTTGTCGCTTCCTCCGTGTTTTCTGGCTGGCTCTTAGACTTAGTGGGGCATGGGGGAATGAGGTACCTATAGAATCTCTTAAACGGTATACATAGGGCCCTCATTCCCCCAACACAAACTCTAAACCCTAAACCCTGAACCCTGAACCCTGAACCCTGAACCCTAAACCTTAAACCCTAAACCCTCAACCATACTAAGAACCAGGGGAATCTCTTTTTTGGATTAGGGAGTTCGTCGCTTGCTTTGGCGCTGTTTCTGTTCCGCCTCTGCATGTCACGCCTTTCCTTTTCACACCCGGGGCATGATCTTTTGGGGTCTAGGGTTTAGGGTTTAGGGTTTAGGGTGTAGGGTGTGGGGTGCAGGGTTTAGGGTATAGGGTTTAGGGTTACCTTTGCTTGCTTTTTTTTTTGTTGTGTCGCCTTTCCTTGGGGTTTTGCCGCGACTTTCGGCAGTGATGTTTTCCCTTCTTTAGGGGTTTGCTGCTCTCATTTCCTTCATGGTGCTGGTTGAGACTCTGGCAATGATGTTACCTTTCTTTAAGGCTGTGCTGTGTTGCTACTTAAGGGCTTTGTTGGCTCTCTAAGGCTCTTGCTGTTCTACCGGTTACCGAAGTGCTGTTTTCATTGCATTGTTTGAGAGCAGTGATGCTACCTTTCTTCAGGGTTTTTGCCGCTTCCTGAGGGTTTTTTGTGGTTGGGCTTCTTCAATGCGTTGGCTGACACTGTGGCCATGATTCGACCCATGATGCTACCTTTCTTTAGGGGCTTTTGTTGTTTGATCCCTCTCCCTTGCTGAGACGGCAATGATGTTACTTTCCAATCCTCTGAGTTTCAGAAGGATATCAGGAATTGTGGAGTACCTCTCAACAGACGGAGAAGGATTTCGCGCCGCAAGAAGGTACTTTCATCCAGAAATCCTCCAAAAATGCAACTTCCTGTCGTGTTTACTGCCCCTGCCAGCACTTCCGCAACATCGACTCTAGGCAAAACGGCCTCTAAGTTCTAAACCTGGGGAGGCAGGGGCCTTTCTAGCCTACAGTATCAGGGCTTTGCCGACCGGGTTCACCGGCCATACCTCACAAAAGGAACACTTTATAAAGCATTGTCATGCTGTAGCTGGTGTACTTCGCGTTGAAGCAGATCAGACACGTGCCTTCGCGAATGCCTCGTAGGGATCATCCTGACCGTAGTTGCACATCCTGAGCACACGCCACCCTAAACCCTAAACCCTAAACCCCTAAACCCTAAACCCTAAACCCTAAACACGAACCCGCAAATCATGGAGGGTGGGTGGGTGCAGTGGGGGCTCGGTGGGAATGTGCTCGCATGCAAACATGCGAACATTGAGTGCTTGCCCCATAAAACCCCAAAGCCAGAACTCTTAACTCTACAGTTCCACCCTCCTCGGTTCTTGAAGAGGGAGAGCGTGTCACTAGTCCAAGGATTTTTCCTACGTTCGTGCAGACAAGGCTGCCTTCAAAAGCTCATTGCAAACCTAATGTTGACCTGAGCTCCCATGAGCACACCGAAAACACCAAACCCGGCCAAAGCACTCAGCTGGGCAGCACGCTCAACATCCCTAAACCCTGAATGCAAGAACTACAGAGCTCTGTTCCCCCAAGCCCCAACCGCGACCCAATCGCACATGCCTTTGCTTTAGGGCCGGGAACCCTAAACCCTAAACCCTAAATCCTAAACCCTGAACCCTAAACCCTGAACCCCATTCTGTTAGGGCCAGGGCCACAGAGCGTTAGAGGGTTCAAACCGATCTTCCCAGCGGCTTCTGGAGGAACTCGCTGTGAGAGCCATGGAAATCCTGGTTCAGGGTTTAGGGTTTAGGGTTTGGGGTTTGGGGTTTGGGGTTTGGGGTTTGGGGTTTGGGGTTTGGGGTTTGGGGTTGAGGGTTTAGGGTTTGGGGTTTAGGGTTTGGGGTTTAGGGTTTAGGGTTTGGGGTTTGGGGTTTAGGGTTTAGGGGTTTAGGGGTTTAGGGTTTAGGGTTTGGGGTTTGGGGTTTCGGGTTTAGGGTTTGGGGTTTGGGGTTTGGGGTTTAGGGTTTGGGGTTTAGGGTTTGGGGTTTTGGGGTTTAGGGTTTAGATGTCATCCGTGCTGCAATATGTGACTAAGGCCGAAAACAACTTTAGATGAACAACCCCGTCCCCTCACCCGAGCCTGTGCACGGGGCTAAGGACAGGAAGGGTTTCTCTCGCCTTGTTGCTAGATTATACCTCCCTAAAACCTAAACCTAAACCCTAAACCACAACCTGGACCGCTTCTAAACATTGTCTTGATACACGGGTTTTCTGGACTAGGTCCAGAGACATCAACGGCGGTCGATAAAGGTAGTGGGTTCATGTGATCGCAGTGCATAGGCGGTGCAAGATGTCCTTCCTGGCACTTGAATCAGGCGCAGAACGAAGGTACAGAAGCGTACGGAGAACCATGATTCACACATACAGTCGATGGCTAAGTGACTAAAGTGTTGGGTCTAGATCAATGGGGTCGGGGGCCTGGAAGGTTAAACCCTTTTGTGGCCTCCAAGAAAGGCAGCCGCAGAAAAAGGACCTCGTAGATTGTGGCGCCCAGCATCCTCAGCTGTCAGCGGTCCGGTGGGAGCACAGAGAAGCAACTCTTCGCGCACCCATGTCAAGCCCCGAGGGCCAAAGCCTCTCTCTCACTTCAGGAGCTTCTCCCTGCATGGTCATGCGGAAGCGGCACCCCCCCCAAACAAGCCGCCTGAGCCTACTACAAGTCGTCTCATGGCCCTTTCCACAGGAAAACAACGCATCTGAAAGGTCCTTAAATTTAGGATTCATAGGGTTCAAGGTTCTAGAAGGCAGCACGTGCATGAGAAACAAGCCCCCATGCCACTGCCCAGGCGCCAAATGTCCGTGGCGTGCATGTAGTCGAGCGGTAGCTGCACTTGTGGGAAGGGCTCGATGAAGCATTGTTCCTGCGGCGATGTTTATTGCTCACGTCTGAGCACCCAAATTGAGCCTCCAACCGTTGCATCAGGAAGCATGACTGAAACTGCAAGCCCTGAACAGCTCAATGAAACCTTTCGCACACAGAAATAAGAATGAGAGAGAGAGAGAGAGCCGCACTGTGAGGGTTCATCTATGTACTTGAGTCCTGCCTATCTGGAAGGGCTGTATAAGTACAAGGGCTTAAGGTTTAGTTAGGCCTTCTGTCAAGCCGGAAACTAGCACGGGCGGAAAAACCTGCAGACATCACTGCCAAATTTGGACCGGTTTAGGGTTTAGGGTTTAGGGTTTAGGGTCGAGAAAATACTCATGGTTCTGAGGACAGCGCCTCCTCCAGTAGCCTTCTCTGCCCCATCTACGGTGTCTTCCAGTTTGCAAAGAACAGTTGGATTTGAAGACGAAACTTGAAACTCGCAAACTGGCCACAAGGTCACCCATCCACCCCGCCACACAAGCCTCCAACTCCTGAACCCTAACTCCCCTCAGTGACCCCTATTATCCCCCTCAATCAACCCCCACTACCTCGTAACATTGAATACCCCTACTATAGTCACAGTATATCGTGTATGGGGGGGGGGGCGGGTATTTAATACTACTCAATATTCGGGAGGGGATGAAGTGAACCCTGAAGCCTACACTCTGACGTAACATACCCTAACATCAACCCTCTACCTTGGGGCTCCCTCTTCGATTCTTATGGTGCCTGGTGTAGCTCCGGAGCTGCATAGCGAGGGTCACCCTGCATGGAGGGGAGAGGGTGGGGTGAGGGGGGGGGCTGAACGGGCTAGAGGGGGGGTGAGGGGAGGTGGGGGGGGGGGGGTGTGCTTCCGGGAGGGGCACGTGGCAGGGTGGAGGGGTTGAAGCTGAGGAAGTTTGGAGGTTTCGAGGCATCAGAGTTGCTCAACGTGCTGCATTCTGCTCTACACCTCGCGTGCCGCAACTTTCGGGAAATACCGAGTCACAAATCCAGCAACTTCTGAAAACCTCAACTTGTCAACGCCCTTGAACGCCCTAAACCCTTAACCCTAAACCCGAGCATCAATCTGCAGAACCTCTCGTTACTTGAACTCTCCCTACCGGCATCCCGCGGCCACCAGTCGCCAAACCCAAAAACTGCCCTAAACCCTAAACCCTAAACCCCAAAACCTGCAGGCTTTCAGTGCTGAAGGAGAAGAGCTCGCCCCTCTCGAAGCAGAAAGCCTGAAGCCTAAACCTGTGCAGCCCTTAACGATGAATTTGAATGCTAAACAATGGGCTGCCAGGGACAATAGCCCTCAACCCTGAACCTTTCATTTTCAGTACGGTACAGGTACGTGTCTGCAGTAAGAAATGGTTGCTCTTCTAGATCCGACACAATTCTACTATTTGCTTCAGAACCCCCCCATCGAAAAAAAGCCTTATAAGGGCAACATAGGGATTTGTATGGTTGTTTGTTTTTTGGGGTGCTCTTACACAAATAGTAGTATTACAGCTAACAACTGCTTGCGACCAAGAGAGCCATCGGTATGAAGATGGTCTCGCCAGTGGGATCAGTCTTCCTGAGTATTCACCAGCCCACTTGGGGGTTTATGATAATTAGGGACCCCCCCCAAAGAGTAGGATCCCCTTATAACAGGGACCCCAATAAGGTACCCCTAATATCGTAAACCCCACTTGTGTCAGTCGGCCATGACTTTTGTGAGTGGCATATCTACGTGGCGCGTGCAAGTTGTCAGGCCAGCTTCTCACCGTGAACCTCTTTCAGCGACCGGTTTCCAGTTGCTAGCCAGTCCATTCCCTTGGCAGGAGCATTTGCGCCAGGGCCACGGTTAACTTCCTCAGCCCTAAACCCTCTAAAGCCTAAACCCTAGACCTTGTCGCAGTGATGTCTGGCCTTGGCGCTACTCTCGGGTCATGTTCGACCGGCTTGGTGGCGGGCCCCGACAGCCACGCAGACGAACGAAAGATGAGAGATGCAACAAAAAAGAAGATAACTTGTGAGAGAGCACTGTAACTCTACTCTGTTACAGTAAACTCCACAAAGCTGGAACATCCTTATCCCCATACCCCGAAGTTGGTAAACTAAAGGGAATCCCAGATCTAATCATCCCTAAACCATGTTCCAACTTTCCGGAGTTTACTGTAGGGGCTTAAACCCTAAACCCTAAACGCTAAACTTGCCGGGCAGCTGTGCAGCATTGCCAAAGTCCGCCAGCAGAACCGTCGGAGGGATCCACTCCTCCTGTGGGGTTTAGGGTTTAGGGCTTAGGGTTTAGGGTTTAGGGGGGGCACCAGGGCATCACAGGCTTGAAGGTTTTCTGGGCTTCAGGTGGCCCTGCAGGGTTTCGGGTTTAGGGTTTGGGTTAGGGGTTTATAGGGGTTTAGGGGGTTCGGGTTTAGGGTTTAGGGTTTAGGGTTTAGGGTTTAGGGTTTAGGGTTTAGGGTTTAGGGTTTAGGGTTTAGGGTTTAGGGTTTAGGGTTTAGGGTTTAGGGTTTAGGGTTTAGGGTTTAGGGTTTAGGGTTTAGGGGGTTTAGGGTTTAGGGTTTAGGGTTTAGGGTTTAGGGTTTAGGGTTTAGGGGTTAGGGGTTAGGGGGTTAGGGGTTTAGGGGTTTAGGGGTTTAGGGGTTTAGGGGTTTAGGGGTTTAGGGGTTTAGGGGTTTAGGGGTTTAGGGGTTTAGGGGTTTAGGGTGTAGGGCTTCGGCTGTGTTTTGAGCGGGGCTGGCACTTCAAACATCGCGCATTTTACACACCAGGCCTTGGACCCCGAGCCCTGGTCAAGTGTACAAGGCGGGCATGGAGCTCAAGCAACCACAGGGTTTAGGGTTTAGGGTTTAGGGTTTAGGGTTTAGGGTTTAGGGTTTAGGGTTTAGGGTTGCAACGCCTCGAAGAGAGCCCCCTGCCCAAACAGCAGGACGTTCTCGGGCTTGATGTCCTGAGTCATAGACTCGGGGGAGTTTCCGAAATAGGGTGCCCTATTTGGGGGTTTAGGGTTTAGGGTTTGGGGTTTGGGGTTTAGGATTTCTCGTTTAGGGTTCAGGGAAAAGGGCCACAGACTCGGCTACTGGTGTCAGGCCGGGTGTCACACCCGTAAACCCTAAACCCTAAACCCTAAACCCTAAACCCTAAACCCTAAACCCTAAACCCTAAACCCTAAACCCAAATTTGATGCCTGGACTCTGCATGGACCAGCTTGTGCTTCACCTCGCGGGGGGGGGGGGGGGGGGCGCGCAGGGGCAGACCTTTCAGAAGCTACCATAGGAGGCTCATAGGAGGTTCATGGTACCTATTCACCCAAGTATAACTGTACTTCTCACCCAATAACCCTATTAGGGCACTTAAGAGGCTCATAAGTGGGTTATAACTAGAGCATGAATTTAAGTATCAGGCACAGGAGGTCCCTGGCTTTGTGATCTTGGAGCGCAGGGTCCCGCATTCGGCATCGGCAGAAGGCTGTTACCATCGAAGACCTTTACACGCCAAAAGCCAACAGCAATCGAAAAGCCGAGTCCACCTCAGACCTTTCCCCGGTTTGAGAGATTGAGGGTTTGAGGGTTTTGAGGGTTTGAGGGTTTTGAGGGTTTGAGGGATTGAGGGGGGTGAGGGTTTGAGGGTTTTAGGGTTCGAGGGTTTAGGATGGGGAAGCCTTCTAATTAAGCTCTTGTACCGCTGACTCTGAACATCCCCAAACTCCACCGAGCTCGAGTGAAGTCGATTGCTGCCCGAGTCTCGTGACAGTGCCGCAGCGCTCGCCTGCGACCGTGGCGCGCTCAAGGTTCTCGTCTAGAGCGCGGGGGCTTCGGGGCTTCGAGTTCAATGCTTAGGGTTTCAAGGGACCCTAAACCCTAAACCCTAAACCCTAAACCCTAAACCCTAAACCCTAAACCCTAAACCCTAAACCCCTTGGGGGACGGAGCTTAGGCAGGGCGTTGCCCATCGTTGCCAGATTGATGGCATGAAACTCCTGCAGTTCAGGGATTCTCTAAACAGGCTCAGGAGGCCTATCCGACGCATCACAGAACTCGATGTCACATCATGTGTTTCAATGGGGTTGCTGCAGGATAAAACCCTGACCCTAACCCTACACCGTAAACCGTAAACCCTAAACCCTAAACCCTAAACCCTAAACCCTAAACCCTAAACCCTAAACCCTAAACCCTAAACCGCAGGACAAGGTCTTCATGGCTCGGGGTGTCTCAGCTCCGAGGTGGAATCTTGGCCAAGAACGAACAGAGGACTGGTGCCCTGCCCGACACATAGATCCACAGCCGGGTTTAGGGTTTAGGGTTTTTTGTTTTAGCAACCCTTCACTCCTTTTCGGAAGGGTTTAGGGTTTAGGGTTTAGGGTTTAGGGTTTAGGGTTTAGGGTTTAGGGTTTAGTGTTTAGGGTTTAGACCCCCAACAACGTTGGAAGTTGATGCAGCTAGGGCACAGCAGCTGCTGTGCTACGGAGGCGACCCATCGGACAGACGGGGGCCGACCGTCGCTTCGCGACCGGGAGATCACCTGCAAACCCTGACTCTATGCGCCCTGAACCTCGTGGCATATGTTATAGGGTTCTTAGCGGGGTTCATGGGGTGTAGGTACCTAGGGAGTCTTAGGGAAGCTTAGGGAGCCTTGGGGAGTAGTAGGGAACCTTGATACCCTCCTTGAACCCCTCTGCCCCTCCCTTCAGAAGTCGATAAAAATGGGATTCTGGGCCTTGGATTTCCGGTCTCAAGCGTTGATAGTTCGGGGTTGAGGGTCAGTGCACAGGGGCTTCGTTTCGGGCACAGTGGCTCGTGTAGTGCGTGCAGTGCGTACCCCCCTTCTTCCTCCACTGACAAATGGAAGATCAAGGCTGTCAGAAATCTAAAGGTTGAACCTCCAATTCCCACCTGTCCGATGTGTACTTCCTTCAATTCGCCCCTGGCTCAAGCCTGCTCTACTCAGGACCTTAAACCCTAAACCCTAAACCCTCAACCCTAAACCCTGAACCCTGAACCCTAAACCCTAAACCCTAAACCCTCAACCCTAAACCCTGAACCCTAAACCCTAAACCCTAAACCCTGAACCCTAAACCCTAAACCCTAAACTCCCCCCCCCACCCACACTACCCCCCCAAAACTTGCCAGAGGGGCCCTGGAGAGCTCGCCACCTGCTTTCTTGAAAGGCCCAGTAGCCATACTTCAGTAAGGGTACCCCTTTTTTTGGGTTTAGGGTTTAGGGTTTAGGGTTTAGGGTTTAGGGTGGGAACCTGGGAACCCCAAACAAGAACCAAAAGGGTAAAAAGGAAAAAAAGGCCCGGTCTCGGGCCGCCCGAGCCCGGGGGGGGCATTCAAACTAGGTGCCCCCCCCCCCCCCCAAACCCCCCTGAGAGTGTGTAGTAGGTGCATGGTACTTAGCAACCCAACAATAACTGTGTTTAGAACCCAATTAGGGTACTTAAGGGGCTGACAAGCGCTAGAAGTACCCTGAACCTCCCTCTCCTTCTCCTCCCACTGGCCGCTCTATCAGCCTAATTTTTAATGTCGTACCTTGAGCAAGGCCTTGAGAAGCCTCACTGCCCGTCGGCTGTCGTATACCCCCCCGCTCCCCCTCGCCCGTGCAGCTTTCCAACCTTCTTTTCTCCACTGAAGCAAGCCTCCCAGTGCCTGAGGCAAGCCAGGAACATTTCCTCCACCCCACCCCGACTCTCCCGTTCCCCCTGGCCTGCCCACAAAACAGTGGCCACCTCAACCGATGCCGTGCGTGTTGTCTCCTTTTCGCCGACGGCGGGCCCCGGCCGAGGCGGGTCACGTAGCGTTAAAAACAAATCTAAAGCAGTCGAAACATCTAAAACGATTCATTCAGAATGTTCGCCTCCTCATATTTCCAAGTCCAACACTACTTCCTGCTTTGGGTTGTTAAGCTCAGAGGGGTTGGGAGCCTTTGTCTAAGAGAGTTCAGGGCTGGAGGCATTTGGCTTGTCCTTCGTGAGCCTTCGTGGGAAGCTACTTCAAGTTTTTTAAAGTGTGTCCATGGGGCTTAGGTGGTCTAGTTGGAATCCACTACCGCCCGTCTTTGTGACACTCCTCGCTGTGTAGGGCAACCCCTCGTGAAGTCTACCAGTCTGCCTGAAGGCGGGTAAAGAGGAAAGCTTCAATCGGTCCACTAAGCAACTCTTGCAGCCCCCTGTCACAAGCACAGCTGCAATCCCCGAACTCGCTTGGAAAAGAGACCTTCCGCCCATTCAGCAATAACGTAGACGTTTAGGATGTCGACGAAATACTCCCGAACCTGGCGCATCGTAGGGGTTCCGGGTTTGATGAGTTTTGGGGGTGGTTGGCGACAGCAATGTTGAACAAGCACGCAAGCGATCCCTCTGACAGGTCTTGGGAACTCCATTGTCAGCTCGAGCGTCTGAGGCTCTCAGTTGGCAAACAAGTGGCCGTAATTGCTCAACCCTTGCTACTCAGACCCTAAACCCTAAACTCTAAACCCTAAACCCTAAACCCTAAACCCTAAACCCTAAACCCAACCGTACATTGCCTGGAGGATGTTGGGATGGCACAGCGCGCTCGTGTGCTGGAACTCGGCGAGAATTGCCTCAAGCATGGCAGAGACAACCACAACTCGTGGGGTTTTGGTGTACCCTTCTTAACGATCCTTACGGGAATATAATTCCAAGACTTGGAGTATATTCTGGGGAACCTTTAGGGGTACAACCTTAAGGATACGTGTCTTAGTCCCTTGAACTACCCTGCTCAAAAAGGGGCTCTGCAACTTGAGGCCAAGATCTTGCAGACTAGGGCTCCGGTTGGATCGACTGGTTTAGGGTTTAGGGTTTAGGGTTTAGGGTGAGCGAAGTAAAGTCCTAAGAAATAATGGCACCCTTGCTACTGTGGCTCCCATGAACTCACTCCTCAACCCTAAACCCTAAACCCTAAACCCTAAACCCTAAACCCTAAACCCAAAACCCTAAACCCTAAACCCTAACCCTAAACCCTGAACCCTAAACCCTAAACCCTAAACCCTAAACCCTAAACCCTAAACCCTAAACCCTAAACCCTAAACCCTAACCCTAAAACTCGTTTCGGCCTTCAGGGGCATGTCGTTGCGCCTCTGCTGCTTGACAACGCAGCCTCGACCAGAGAGGACAGCCAGGGAATGTGGATCTCAGACAATTGACTTATCGGGCTTAGGGCCTCAACTACGACTTGCTACCCCCCAAAAAACAATGAAGGATAAATCTCTCATTACCCTTACAAGGAAGAATACTTTTGTGTTAAAGTTTTTGGGGGTTTGTAAGCAACTAGTAGACAAGGGATGTCAAGGATCTGTTGGTTTTAGGGTTTGGGGTTTAAGGTTTAGGATTGGACTTTTAGCTTAAGTCTGGGGTGGAGCGCCTTTGGGTTCCGAGTTGGGGCTTCGGTGACGGTAGCAACAGAAAGTCGACCTTCTTGTTGCCCTCTTTAAGGGTTTGGGGTTTAGGGTTCTGGGTTTAGGGCTTCAGTGACAGACTCTGGGAAAAGCTGAGGTTTCCACAGCTCAGAAGCCTGCGTACCAAATCTATACTGAACTTGGAACCCCAACAACGAATATAATTTTCGCTGTTTCTTAGGAACTATAGTACCCAAAAACTGAAAAAATATTGCCAAGAATCCCTAAGAAATGAGTCCGCAGCAGATAAGCTCAGCGCGTGGCAACGATCGGGTGAATGTCTTGGCCGCGCTTTGAAGACGATGCCGGTCACCCCCTGGAGCTGGCAGTTGTGGAATTTAGTGTTTAGGGTTTACGGTTTAGGCCAATTTGGAAGAATCTCGATTTGGGGGTTTGCGACAATAAGGGACCCCGAATAAAGTCTCCCAAATAGTAGGATGGCCTTAGAATAAGGATCCTAAACAAGGTACCCCTAATTTCGGAAACTCCGATTTGACAGAGGACCTACGCATCATGACTTGTCTGGTGAGGCAACAACCCTAAACCTTAAACCCTAAACCCTAAACCCTAAAGACCCAGCGCAGTTGGGAGGATTAGAGGGTTCGCGAAGGGCCAAAGGAAGTCCTCAAGAAAGCGGGCCATTCGGGCCCGGTACCTCTTTGTTGGATCCTACGATTTTGGGTTGAGGCTTGGATTCTAAGGGTCTTAGGGTCTTGGGGGTTAGGGCTAAGGTTCCTCCATCATTTTTGCCCCATGGCGAGTTCGACCCACCCTTGCTGTGCGAAAATCACGACACGCAGGACCGAACACTTAACATGGGCAAAGCAAAAATCACAGCGACCACTGGAACTTCTTTAAAGTTCGCAGGACACGCTGCAGACCCCTGTAACCCCAATGCCGGCTTCTTACCCAAATCCCCCCCCAAAACCCTAAACCCTAAACCCTAAACCCTAAACCCTAAACCCTAAACCCTAAACCCTAAACCCTAAACCCTAAACCCTAAACCCTAAACCCTAAACCCTAAACCCTAACTGATCCTTTTTCCAGGCGGGCCTGGCCCAGCACATCTTTGGTGGGATTCCACATGTAGTTCTGCTGCGCAGTGCCGCTCCTTCCACAGCGACTTCTAGGGGGTTCCAGGGCTTGGTCGTTATAGGCGCAAATAGGGTTTAGGGTTTATAGGGTTTAGGGTTTAGGGTTTCGGGTTTAGGACAGAATCATTAGAGCAGGGATTTGGGTGATTTTTCAATACATTAAAAAAAGGCACCCTAAGGGAATACCATTAGTAACGAATATAGGGGACAGAATAATTAGAGCAGGGTTTTGGGGGGTTATTATGGTATATTGATAGAGGGCCTCTAAGGGAATACTTCTTGTAACTATTCCGACCCCTAGAGAAAGAATTCTGGACTCGTGTTACATTGTTTTCTATGTGAAAGCCTCGCATTGGTTGTGACTTTTGTAGTGTGCTCTCACGGTGCACGCTGCTTGGCCTGTATGGCGGGCGTGCTTGATCCGTTGAGTTGCCCATACGGTTTGGGCCGCAGGCAATAGGTCTGCACATTTCGCATAGCGACTTTGACTCGCTGCGTGGGAAGTGAAAAAGTGACCCCTAGAGAAAAAATCAGCTCGAAGTCGAAGGACGCCAAACCCTGAGGCGTGAGGAAATTGAGGGTACAAAGAGGCTCTGAGATATCCCTGAGCTACACCTTGGTTTAGGGTTTAGGGTTTAGGGGTCCGGTCGGGGTGCAGTTGAATTGCCAGGATTCGGGGTACACGGTAATTGCACTGGTGGGGTCAATGTCCTTGTTGTGGTTTTAGGGGCGGTTTGGGGTGCTTCTTTCTTTCGTTGTTCCAGGCTCAGGGTAAACCCGCTAAATACAAAAGGGTTAGGGTTTAGGGCCGGGTTTAGGGTTTAAGGTTTAGGGAATCCCCAGCACTTGCCAACTGGCCTTCCCCTTGAATCCGCAAACATGTGGGGCTTCAGCCTGAACCCCACCCTCGCCCGGACCGCCCAGCTAATCCGCACGTATTCGAACTTTATTCCTAGGGGTCGGAATAGTTACTAATAGTATTCCCTTAGGGTGCCTTTACAAATATACGACAATAACCCCCTAAAACCCTGCTCTTATTATTATGTTCCCTATATGACGCGGGGTCCCGCAGCACTTCAGCAGGTCCGTCACGGTGCCTGGGAGGTGAACTCGACCCATGATTGGAATACCAGGAGTTGACGGCCACCCTACACCCATCACCCAAGCCCAAACACCCACATCCTGAACCTCAGAAAAAAAACTTTCCGAATCATGAGCTACCTGCCTCTCTGTGAACCCGTCAGGTGTCCATCTCCATCAAAAAAGCCAAACTGTTTGTGACTTTTGTCCTAGGGGCATCTTGGGATAGATCTCAAAAAAGGGGGTGAAAGATTTGCGGTTGGGATGTTCCCCCTTATGCTGAAAGTCCTTATGCCCGCCCACTCTAATCCCTATGAAGGAGCTGTTAATATAAGGAGGAACATCCTAACCCTAAAGCCTATATACCCTAAAAAAACCCGAAATGGGACCCTAAACCCTAAACCCTAAACCCTAAACCCAAAACCCCACACCCAAAAACCCTAAACCCTAAACCCGAAACCCGACATGGGACCTTCAACTCCCAGATGGACAAAAATATAAGGGGGAACAACCCGAAGCTCGGTCTCTCGGTGCTGCCCCAGATGCCGCTCTGTGCCTGTCGCCCGATGAAGGAGCTTCGTGCAAAGGACGATCGAAACTCCTGGCTTGAAGGGTTTAGGGTTTAGGGTTAATGGTTAAGGGTTTAGGGTTTAAGGTTTAGGGTTTAGGTGGCCGGCACTGATTGCGCTCCGGAGATTCACATCTTGAGCATGTACTTCTCAGGATCTGAGGGGTCAAGTGTCAAACGCTTTTGGACAAGTGCAGTCCCAAGAAGTGGCACAGTGCTTCAAGGAGCTAGAAGAACGCAGCTGGCTGCGCATCTGTCGAAAACTTATAGTTGCATCACATCAGGCAACCAGAGGACCGAACCCGATGACCTTGCGACCGAGACCAGCAAATGCCTTCTGCACGAGCCTGCGGACACATCTCGCCCCTTGCAATAGAAATCGTCCTTCCTTCCCTGCCGGATTTGTACGAGCCACAAAACGAACCAGACCTGCACATGCGTTTCTGCACGGAACAGGACCTGAAAGCGCACTGGGTGCTGGCGATGAATACGCGCTCTGCCAACCACTGGTTCTGTTCGAGCGCATGCATGGACAACCGGTGCGTGGACGAGTGCGTGGTGGGCGTGTACAAACTGCATGTACGAACACATACGTGGACTTGACACTTAGGACTTAGGTTTAGTGGCTCAGCCAATGCCACCCTATAGTTGAGCCACCAACGCTTCCCGCCATGTTTATTGTGCAACTGCATGTCATTCATACCCAAACACCCCCAAGGCCACAACACCAAATTTCATTCCATGAATTCATAAGGGTTGGCTTCTCGATTCGGGAATGGGATACTGATAGTTGCACTCTGCAGGCTACAGCCATCTGTACAACACGCCTGCTGCAAGCCCAAGTCAAACATCAAGGCATCTCATCAAATCACGGCTCCTTAAGACTTGAGTGCACCCACCTCTTAACTACCAGTTGCTTAATAACCCCCCCCCCCCCCCCTTCAACGATATTCTTCCTTATAAGGAAAATATGGGAACTATGACTCTTATTTTTTAGAAGGGGGGTTCTTAAGCAAATAGTAGTCAAGGGGGCTGGGGGGGGGGTTTGTGAACCTTTGGCACGCTGCCTCGGCATCACCGCCACTGGCACGCCGCGTGCGCCGCGTGCGCGACTTGGCGACGCTGGGGCCGTTGGGCGTGGGAGGAGCCGAGCCTCCGGCAGCGAAGTTTCGTTCTCAGGTTGAGGGAGCTAGCTTATGTTGTGTAAGGGGAAAGGATGTTCTTGCCGTGCTCACAACGTGGAGTGTTGCTAGTTCGGCACGGATCATGCAGTTCCCAATCGAAAATTATGTGACTAAGTTTGCATGATGTGCTTGCCATCTTCACGGAAGTACAAAAGACAGTGCCAGGCACGTACTGTTCATGACATCCGACATGTGTTGTAGTCTTGAAATTACGGCAAGCAAGGACACCTGACAGGGGGCTGCTGGGGGAAGCCCTGAACTACAAATCGGGCAGCGTGGCCCTGATCCCTAAACTTTGGCCCATTGTTTGGGAAACCGAAGAAAATTATTTGCAGCGGAGGTTCAGACGGTTCAGAGGCGAACCAACACCGACACTGAAACCCTCAACAACGGCAGCCTTCGATTGAAGGGCCCAGGCCGAGAGTCCTCACATGCAAAAAAAGCCTTTGAGGCTTCGCCGGTACCCCAGCCCTAACTCCCCTCAACCCCAACCCAAACTTCTGAACTCTCGCTGCCATGATCATACTGATGAGGTCTAATCTAGGCTGGCCCTTAAAACCCTCCGACAAAAATTCCTGAATATGATCCTCTCCAACCCAGCAAGGGAAAATATCAAACATGTCCCAAGGGCCTGCCGAGCAATGGTCTAAGGAGCCCCTAAACCCTAAACCCTAAACCCTAAACCTAAACCTAAACCCTACAAAATCGAGCAGCCTTCGAGTCCCAGAGCCCCACTGCCCCCCCCCCCACCCCCAACAGTCTCTCCCGCCTTCGGCCATGGCTTCGGTCGCGAGGCGCGCGCCACTTTGCGAGAGAATGGCCACGGCTTCGGCTCCGTGTACAAGGCTGCTTTTGCGAAAAGTTGGACTTGGGCTTAGGGCTTAGGGCTTAGGGTTTAGGGCTTAGGGCTTAGGGTTTAGGGTTTAGGGTTTAGCTGTGGCTTGAGGGTTAGATCGACTATACGCAGTGCAGGGAAGATCTCAGAAAGTCTCTGCCTCTGTCGCCTCTGGGGCGGGGGGGGGGGGGGGCGGGGCTGGTCTTGTGAAAGTCATCTTCGGGATGTGGGTGTTGCTAACGGCACTATGCATTGCCGAGCTTCACGGCTTGCGGCCTGGCTGAGCTGCGCAACTCACAAACTTCAGCGGGCCGACAACAGGAAAGGTAGTAAAGGCTCTGCAGCATCGAAGCTCGACCCCGATCAACCAAATCGAGCGCGAGGCTGCACACCCCATACACACCCCAAGCCCTCGAGACAATCACGGCCCTGTAACGACGTCGAAACCCCAATTACCAATAGCCGAACCCCTAAACCAAAGCAACCCCCCGCCGCCGCCCCCCCCCCCCGCCCCCCCCGCCCCGGAAGTTCGTGCGCCAGCAAAGGGCCGCACGCACGGATCTCAGTGATCTGCTTCGGCATGTCCCACCTGTGGGATGGAAGAGGCGCGGGCTGCACAAGAAGCCGAGGCCAGAAAAAGCCCCAAAAGACGAAGCCGGGGCCGAACGCAATCCTTGCGGGAGCCCCGGACAACCCTACTTGGCTCTCGCTTGGGAGTGCAGGGTCTGAGGCCTTGAGTGCCTCACTTCTTGGGGGCTCCTGGTGGTTTTGATTTGCTCTATGGGCCGAGAGCAAGTTTCAGCCTCACGGAAGAGAAGCATCTTTGCTGCGCCGAGGTCTTTCAAAGAGAATGATATTTCCAAAGCTGAACAGGCAGTATCATGATGTTCCTCATCCATCGGCAACCTGCTGGACGCATTGAGTGAACGTACGCACAGCAAACGTCAGATCAACATGTCCACAGCTACCAATTGAAAACATCTATGGAGGTGGAAACTTCAAACGACAGCAAACAACTCCAAGAAGGCTGCGGGAAAGGTACATTGACTCTGGAGACCAATCCCCCAAACCCCCCCCCCCCCCCCCCCCCCCGCCCGCCCCTAACGCACATCGGCTGGCCGTGACCGTTGTAGACGGAAGGTCGACTTCTTGGCTTTTGGAACAAAGCGCCCCAAGACTCCACCCTAAACCCTAAACCCTAAGCCCTAAACCCTAAACCTTAAGACCCCAAACCCGAAACCCTAAACCCTAAACCGAGAACCCTTGTAACCCGGAGATGTTCAGATGGCCTCTTTGGAAGGATCGCTGGACCCACTTCTGGCTGCTTTCAGAGCCGCTGGAACACCGCTGCGGGAACCAAAAAAGTGGCTAGGGCTTGCTTGACGACTCGAACAGGATTTCCAAAACCCTAAGGGTCCATGTACCTAAATGGGGAATACTTGGGCCTTAAAGTACTTCCTACGTGGGTTTGTTCGGGTGTTGGGATCAGGGTATGTTTTGCGGGTATGTTTCGGGGTATGTTTCGGGGGTATATTTCGGGAATGTTTCGCGGCATCATGAGCTACTGTGCCTGCAATTTCGGGGGTATGTTACAGGGTATGTTTCGGGGGTATGCTTCGGGGTATGTTTCGCGGGTGTGCAAGCCGTGTGCCCTTCTTAAACCTGGGCCCCCCAAAAATGGACAAACCCATGTAGGGACTTTGGGGCCCAAGTATATAATAGCAGGGTACATGGACCCGTAGGGAAATGCTGAAAGAGGACTTTGGATGTCAGATGCCCATTCTCTTCAACTACTACAGGGGCCTTCATATTCAGAACAGGGTTTTGGGGGTTATACCGTTATTCTAGTATAAGCTTAAAGGGACCCTAAGGGAATGCTATTAGTATAGGGGCCTTAAGAGTTAGCTTACTAAGATAGGGTTTTGGGGTTTGTTCAGTATAAGTTTAAAGTGACCATAAGGGAATGCTATTAGTAAGAGCTAAGACCCAAAGATTTCTCCCAGTAGAACGCCTTTAGGCTTAATTACAGCTGTCCCTCCACCGGAACACCTTCAACCTTCAGTCGGAACCATTGGCGGATCACCCAGAAAAATCCCCACAATCCCCAACCCTGTCCACCCGTTCCCTCCTCCCGAAAGCGCCATAATTTTCACCAGTGGTTGAGGTGTAGGGTTTCTAAGAAGGTTGCGAAGACCGTCCAACCAATCATCTTTTGGGCTTCAACATCCAACCCTGAAGCCCCAGATATGGAGAATCTCACGTCCACTCACCCTAGACTTTCAGGCCACAACCCCGAACCCCGCTGCCTGCACCGCCTGAACCACAAACCATGGAAGCCCTGTGGCAGCCCTAAACCCTAAACCCTAAACCCTAAACCCTAAACCCTACAGCCCTAAGCCCGATCCATGTGTTTCCGACGCAGCCGTCGGTTCGGCTCTCTCAGAGTACCAACCTGGCAAGTCCTCGTCAACAGGAGGTGCTTAACCCTAAGGGTCCATGTACCTAATTATTATACACTTGGGCCCCAAAGTCCGTATATAGCAGGTACTTTAAGGCCCAAGTACTCCCTATTTAGGTACATGGACCCTTAGGGTAATGTAGGGGGCCTGAATAATTAGAATAGGGTTTTGCGGGGTTATCAGAGTATAGTTACCATTCAGGGAATATTACTAGTAATTATTCCGACCCCTGTAGTAACTATGCCTTTGCGTTCCTGAAAGCACTGTGCGCGCGAGCTGTTTTTGCTTGTCTGGTGAGCTTGGTGTGGGAATTCTACCCTCAAATACATGTGATGGGTTAGACGAAACTGTGCTCATTGCCACAAATATGTAGAAACCCATCGCCATCGTGCCTAAACTTCTCTTTGCGCTCAATGTCACTTGGGGACTTCCAGTCCTCCTCTTCACCGTCGTAGCCGTAGTCGCAACAGATCTCCTCGCGCCAGGAAGTGTTGGACTTCAAGGGGGTTTAGGGTTTAGGGTTTAGGGTTTAGGGTTTAGGGGTTGGGGGTTTAGGGTTTAGGGTTTAGGGTTTAGGGTTTAGGGTTTAGGGTTTAGGGTTTAGGGTTCAGAGCCCGAAACCATCAACCCCAACCTTTGCCGGGGTGTGGCAAGGCAAGTTGATCCGTATGAACACACCCTGCAGGCTTGAGATCCCACCTTATAAGCCCGACCTCCAAGAAAACAACTGGGTTTAGGGTTTAGGGTTTGGGGTTTAGGGTTTCGGGTTTAGGGTTTAGGGTTTAGGGTTCCAAGACAACTGGGGGGGGGGGGTAAGAACACACATCAGGGTGTGAACGTACACCTTACCTGCATGCTGCGACGCTCATTGAGTTGCACATCAGTGAAGAAAACAGGCACATCAAACGATCGGAAGCCCGATTGCGGAGGCCACAATGTGGCCTTTTCCAAAGAGAAAGAGGCCTATTTCAGAGAGCTCGAAAACCCACCCAAAACCTCAAGGGTGGGGCTGCTTTCGGCACTTGCTTGCCGTAATCTTGCGCATGTCGGGATCGGATCAAAAAGTGGGGCGCTCGATATTACTATTGCGTTACTCGAAGGTGCCTTGTCAGACCCTGACGCCGGCCGGCACACAGCGCGCTCTGAAACGAAATGCCCCAGGGGCTCAGAGTAGCAGTTCAGGGCCTTACCTTAGCAGGTATACTTCTGGAAAACTGTCGGAATCCTGGGGCTCGGAGGAACAGTCCAGGGCCTCAGGATGTATACTTAAGGAAAACGTATGGGGCTAGCTGCTTACGGGACCCTGGAGGCGCGGCACTGCCAAGGCCAACGGGCCTCGTGTGCATCGATGTCCCTGACCGCACGAATGGCCTGCCAGCGGCTGCAGTGTCTTCGTCACAGAAAGCTGAGGAGTAGGAGTAGTAGGAGTAGTAGGAGTAGTAGGAGTAGTAGGAGTAGTAGGAGTAGTAGGAGTAGTAGGAGTAGTAGGAGTAGTAGGAGTAGTAGGAGTAGTAGTAGTAGTAGTAGTAGTAGGAGTAGTCGTCGTCGTCGTCGTCGTCGCTGTCGTCGCTGTCGTCGTCGTCGTAGTAGTAACTGGCACGGGCTTTGAGACCCAATCTCTTGAGCATCATGTGCGCGCCATCTGGAGCTGGATGAGCTGGCCCCAAACCTTCATCACAGGCAATGAGCCGAAGCTGGGGTTTGAGTTTGAGACCCGCTGTTTTGGAGCATCATGCCCCACCTTTGGAGCATCATCCGCTGCGACATGAGCCCAAACCATCAGGGTCGGGCTGCCATGAATGGTTCTCACTGGGGCGTTTCAACACGGCCCGCTGGAGCCACAACCACCCGAAATACAGATTTCGGCGCGTGCAGTTCCTCGAGGCAGCGCAGTTCCTCGAGCCATTTCCATTTCAAAACTTCCTCGTTTTCATCCCCGGATTAACTTCCGCACCGTGAATTCAAATCTCTGAAGCCAAACCGACCGTCCCAGAAGCCTCCGGGCAAACGTGGCACAACGCACCCTCACCCAGCACAAATGACTGAATGTTGAAGTGCATCACCCCCAAAGCAGCCCCTCACAACCATGCATCGTGAGATCCTTGTCTACGCTGTTCCCTCAACAGCCTCTCACAACTGCATATTCCCGTAGCAGCCCAGTGACCCTTTTTTGTGGTCGGTTGTTTTTTCAGGGAACCAAGAACCCCAAAAAGGTAAAGGGTACCACTCTGCCACCTGGGCTACCCAAGTTCCCAAACCCCCAAGCCCTCAACCGGGCCTTGATTAGGCCAAAGCGAGGATGGTCGAAGACCTCGTACCTAGCGCGCCAAGCTTCAAAGGCGAGGGGAAAAGACCCTCTTCGTCACGTGGGGGCCCTGGGCCCGTAGTCTGAGACATGTTGACCAAAGGCTTGCACCTGCGAACCCTGCACTTTGAACCAAAAGCTAAACTGCAAGCCTTAAAGCAAAGGAGCCCTAGACCCGAAATCCCAGGCTAGAAGACGACAAACCTGGCTGGCACTGCAAGCACTCCGAGCCCCTGGCTTTGCGTTATTGGGCTTCAAGTGATTGGCCTTGTGACCCAAACCTCAGGGGTTGGGCATGTGGACCAACTCAAGGCAGTAGATGCCGTTGCAGCCACCCCCCTCCCCCCTTCAAGCTCCAACCTGAAACTTTCATCGTGCACACCTGGCACTTAACCCTAAACCCTAAACCTTCTACCCTAAACCCTAAACCCTAAACCCTAAAGCCTAAAGCCTAAAGCCTAAAGCCTAAAGCCTAAAGCCTAAAGCCTAAAGCCTAAAGCCTAAACCCTAACCCTGAACCCTAACCCTAAACACCCTAAACCCGAAACCCTAGTAACCCTAAACCCTAAACCCCAAACCTTTGCAAGACCAAAGCCCGGCTCGGAGCGGGACAGGCCCGGAAGGTGTCGGTCGATGCAAACTCTGCCGGCCTTGCACGCTTCTGCCCTTTATGCACTTTATGCGCTTTGAGGCGGGTGAAGACAGAGTGGGCCGAGTCCAAAACTAGAGAAGACGGAGACAGAGAACAAGGCTAGGTTGGCATGAGTCAGAAAAGCAAGACAGCATGAGTCAGGAAAAACAGGAGGAAAGCAGGAATCGAGAGTGCCCATTTAACACCCTCTAAACCTTCAAAACCCTGAAATGCTGAAATGCTGGAAACAACCTGGCAGCATTATCCCTTGAAACCCTAAAGTCATGAACCCGAAGACCCCTCTGTACCCATGCCCTCAACCCTACTACACCCTTGACCCTAAACTAGGGGGGGGTCTTTAAGTTTCTCCGTTTTCGACTTAGTCTTGTTTCCGACTCAGGACTCGGTTTCAGGCTCAGTCGAGGCTCCTTCCTTTTCCTGGAGCGTCTTTGAGGGATCTCGGGATGAACCTCTAAAAGCCCTGCGAACCCGAAGTCAAGGTCCGCGCACGTCCAGAACGGTCTCACGATCCAGCGCGATCGTCATGCCATTCCTCAGCGGCCGAGATCCGAGAGCCCACATCTCCAAAGCGTGCAGGGCATAACATCTCCACAGCAACCGTCCTCGGCCCCCCCCCCCCCCCAAAAAAAAAAAAAACGAAAACTCTGAATGCTGCAACTCCCAACGTGAAGCCCAGCAGTTACACGCCGAGACCAGCAAACTTGATATGCGCTACCAAAGCGGCCGCTGACCTACAGCCCTTTTCTACTATTTGCTTAAAACCCCCCCAAAAATAGAAAATAAATGGCCCCCATATTGCCGTTATAAGGAAGCATGTGCTTTTAATTTTTGGGGGGGTTCTTAAGCAAATAGTAGTTTTGCAAAGGCTGGGAGAGGCTTGTCTCTAAACAACAGCAACATGTGGGTTGAGGGCCCATGGAGGGGTGCATTCCGTTCAGGGCTTAGGGAATGCTGGTCTTCGTCGTGGTTACTTGTGACAAAGCCTATTGGGCCCTAAACTCCAAACCCCTCACCCGTCAGCTGCTAAACCCCTAAACCCAGCCCTAAACCCTAAACCATCAACCCTCAACCCTCAACCCTAAACCCTAAACCCTAGACCCTTGACCCTAAACCCTAAACCCTAAACCCCGGATGCAAATCCACCGGAGCTTGAGCATGCCGGGGCATGCAGGGACTTTGTGCCGTAAGGACGGGTTGAGGGTGGAGGTCCCGGGTTTGGGGGTTTAGGGTTTAGGGTTTAGGGTTTGGGGTTTGGGGTTTGGTGTTTGGGGTTTGGGGTTTAGGGTTTTGGGTTTAGGGAGCCAAACCCCCTCAAGAAGCAAGTCCCTGAAATCGTTCTTATCGGCGAACTAGCCTCAGTAGCTAATTTCCTGGTGTTTGTTTAGCCCAGTTGTTGAGCGGATCCCTACCCTAAACCCTAAACCCTAAACCCTAAACCCCAAACCCTAAACCCGAAACCCTAAACCCCTCGAAGGCGAAAGCAAGGAAGCAAGAAGCCCCACAACTTGACCTGGCGGGAAGCCCTTTTGAGCCCTCAATGCCTCAACCAACCCTAAACCCTAAACCCTAAACCCTAAACCCTAAACCCTAAACCCTAAACCCTAAACCCTAAACCCTAAACCCTATAAACCCAAACCACAGAAGCTGCAAAGCACTGCAGTTGCAGAAACCTTCTAAAGCCTGGAAACCAGCTGCAACCGGACCTGTAACAAACCTCGAACGCACGAATCGTGAAACGCGAACCCTAAAAACCCCCTGATAGAAGGGCTATGAGAGCAGTTAGGGGGCTTGCATGTGGGTTTTACCTACACTTATCTTAATCCCTGTTCCCCTAGGAAGAAAAAAGGATCCTTTTTGTTCATATATAAGAAAGCCCATAACCCAAAAAGTAAAAAGGATCCCTAACACTGATCGAGTTATATTGGGTTACGAAGTACCCTGAACCTCCAAGATATGAGATATGAGACAGTCCCAGGCTCAGGCACCACTCCCGGTCATTGACCTCCTCCACAAAAGGGGACTTAGCTGCACTTAGCAGGGTAGCTATAAATTTAGTTTTTAGCTGCCTTCTTAAGAAACCCAATAAACCCAAAAAGGCTAAGGATCTAAAGTTACAGTAAAGCACCACAGAGGGGAGAGCTCTTGCTTTTTTTTTAAAGGCTCGACAGCGCGGCGAAGGTTTCGGAGGGCTCCATTCGGGTTTCGGCCCTTTCTTTACTGGGGGTTTTTACTAGGTTCCGTGAGCTCTGTGGGAGCTTTGTAAGGCCCCCCTCCTCCCCATGGAAGGTTTGCAGAAGTGTTAAAACATTTCGAACGAGGTTAGCCGGAGCATGGGGATTCCAGAGAAGCCCTAAACCCGAAACAGTAGAAACAAAGAGATAACGAGGTGTCGGGGCCGGGTTTAGGGTTTAGGGTGTAGGGTTTGGGGCAAACTGTAACAGTAAGACAGCAAGGAAGAAAGTGGCTTCGAGGAACTAGGGGATGCATGAGGCTCTTCGGGATTCTCTTCTTCCCGTCCGCACGCGGCCAAAACTTTGGAAAACTTTAATAGGTTGGTTACTTTATAAGCGAACCCAGAACCCAAAAAAAGGTAAAGGGCACCCCTGGGCTACCAAGTGAAGCACGTTTGAAGAAGGCCCCCGATGTGCAGTAGAGACTTCAGGACGCTGTCTCCGTGGCGCGCACGCTACTTTGCCACCGTTTCCGCGTGGGATGTGTCGCCGGGCTTTTGTCGTATACTGCAGCTTCCCAGCTGCACACACATAAAGGTGTTGTGGCACATGGGTTGTGCGCAAGGGTCTCGTTTTGAAATCGAGTTGGTGCATGCATAGGGGTGGAAACGCGCTGTGGGTAACAATTGGGGCGGGGCCGTGCTCAAGCCAGCGAACTTGTATTCAAAAGAGGGAGCCCGCCCTCAACATAGTGCAGAAGTTTTTGGGAGATAGGGCCATGTAGCACGGAAGGCAGGTAATCGGGAAGGGAAGCAAAGCAAGACTAGTAGCAGTAGTGCCCTTAAGCCCGGTGCAAGGCTATCCTGTCCTCGTGGCTGCAGCGGAGGCCATTGTACCTGAGCGAGCTGAGGATACCATGAAATGGCAACGATGTGTTCTGGGATTGAAGTTAGGATCAGTTGAATGGTTGGGATTTCAAGGTTTGGGCTTCGAGCATACGTGAGATTTACTTAGGATGTAGACCGTGGAGGGGGTGGGGATTTTGGGTGATGAGGATGATTGGACAATGATAGGTTTTCAATGGTTTTCATGCCCAAGCAGCTCGAGTCGTTCAAGGTCCAAGAGGATTTAGGCTTCGGGGTTAATTAAGGAGTTCGTGGTTGAGGTTTGTAAAGCTTGTTTGCGCGGGCGTTGTGTCACAAAAGCCTTTGCTTAGTTCCTGAGTTCATAAGCCCCCAAAACGTGCACACTTGAAGTTCTACAGGGGACGGGTTCTTATATCCCAAAAAGCGCGAAGTGTACTCATTCAGCCCCTAAACCCTAAACCCTAAACCCTAAACCCTAAACCCTAAACCCTAAGCTACTAAGGTTTCTTTTCGGTCATGCCACAGCAACAGAACGAGGCGCTACAGCGCCTCTCGAAGATGCTTCTTTTTAGGGGGCTGCTTGCGTCGATCTACATCTCGAAAATGCTCATCCCTAAACCCTAAACAGCCCTAAACCCCAAACGTCACTAAACCCTAAAGACTAAACGCTAAGCCTAAACCCTCAACCCTCAACCCTCAACCCTCAACCCTCAACCCTCAACCCTCAACCCTCAACCCTCAACCCTCACCCCTCACCCCTCACCCCTAAACCCTAAACCCTAAACCCTAAACCCTAAACCCTAAACCCTAAACCCTAAACCCTAAACCCTAAACCCTAAACCCTACCCCCCCATCTGATTTTCAGGACAGGACACCAGCTGCAGAGCTCCCCGGCCCGCAAGGGCCGCTTTGCAAAGAGGCCCTCCATGTCCTTGTTTTTGGGTTTCGGGTTTAGGGTTTAGGGTTTAGGGTCTAGGGTTTAGGGTTTAGGGTTTCGAGGTTCATGGAACTTAGTAACCCAATAACAGCCAAAGAAAGAAAGGCCAGGCTTGTACTTATTGACCAGCTACAACTCTACGTATAGCCCACGTATGAGCCCCTCAAGTGCCCTAATAAGGCTATAATTGGGTTATTCGTACAGTTCGAATTGGGTTCATAAGTACTATGAACCTCCAAGTAAGCAGGTTCAGGGGGACTTCTGGGAGTCTAGGGACCGGGTTTGAGAGGAAGCATGGCTTCATAGACGCTGGGCCTCTGTATGACTACCACTCTGCAGTTTTACCAGCCCTCGTTGAACAGCCCGGAACCACATGCAAAAAACAAACCCTTGCTTATAAGGCCAAATGCTCGTAATTAAACCCTTGCCGAACGCCAAAACCCAAAACCCAAAACCCTAAACTCTGTCCTCCTTCAGATGGCTCTGCGTGACAGTGACGCGGTCCAGCTCGAAAAGGTCCTCGGCCATTGGCTCGACCGTTTGTAGGTTTCAGAAGGATTAATAGACTGGCTGGTATGAGGCCATGAGGCACCCTACATATATTGAAAGATAATCCCTCAAAAGGTGTATATATGTATATCTGTATCTATCCATCTATCTATCTATCTATATATATATATATGTACATATATATATATAAGGCCCTAATTCCCTCATTCCCTACTAAGAACCAGGGGGTAGACATGAACCAGAAGATCAACAAATGCAATGAAAAGGTCTTCGACCGTTTGAGGCGATTGAAACAGGACCAAAGAGTGCGACGTCGCGGCTCCTGAAGTGTTTCCGGGTTCATTGGACGACTGATGCTGGGCAGGATTCCCCGAAACCTAAACCCTAAACCCTAAACCCTAAACCCCTGAGCTGCAAACCTGCTAAGGTACCACTAAGAGTGCCAAGACTGCACTGCCCTCCCGGTCCCTCCGGACAAACACCCTAAACTAAACCCTGAACCCTAAACCCTAAACCCTGAAGTAGCCTGAAACTTGGGACTAACCTGCTCCCAGAAACGGCTGTCCTAGAGAGCGTCAGGTCAGCTACACCAAGATGCATGGAAGCCTTGACAAAGCCTGCCGTCCCAAGCCTATCAACCCAATCCCTGAGCCATCAACTCTTCGCCTAATTGAGCTTGAACTGAGTCGTGGATAAACAGCTCCCCGTCCAAAGAAGCCGGCACACAGAGACAGGACCGAGGAGCCGGGATAGATGGCTGATCCGAGAGCTTCCTGACAGAGCTTGGGGAAGTCTACTTGGAGGTTCATGGTACTTATTCACCAGGTATAACTGTACTTAGTACTTATGACCCCACTTATATGAGCCCCTTAAGTGCCCCAATAAGGTTAAATACTTGGGTTAGAAATACAGTTGTTGTTGGGTGGAACAAGTACAATGAAACCTCCAGGGGATACAGAGCTTGGGGAAGCCTAGCAACGTCTTTGTGAATGTATGCAACATGCATGCACGGATACACTATGCATGTGTGTGTGTCTCTCTCTATAGTACATGTGTGCATGTATACATATCCATATATATATATATGTATACATGAATAATTCCAGCTTGTTTACGGGTATGTATGCCGGTGTGCAACTGGGTTTGCGGCTGCACATGGGACTCAGCATTGAGCTCTCGAACTGCCGGGTCTACCGTTGGAGTCTAGGACTGCGCGAGTGGCCACAGGTGTTGCTGTGCTTGCAAACCGATCCCGACCGCCACCCTGCCCGGCTTATGAAGTGCAGGTGCCCCATCTGGGCTGCCGGCTCTTCGTGGCTCTTTCTGATCTATTCTGGGCCATGACAGGGTCTTGGTGGCTCTTTCGGACCAATCTGGGCGATAACAACTCGTGTAAACAACTCGTACTGCCGTGCCGGGTCTTGGTTTCAGTTGAGGATGTAGGATGCGGCTATATGGGTCCAAAGTCCTTGATGCAATGGGGCGCACGGTCGACCAAGAAAGTTCAACCCCTCCAGAGTGAAAACAAGTGCAGACCAGGCGTCTCTCGCGTAGAGATGTCGCCTTGTCAAGCTACCATCCCGGTTGGATGCAAAAAAACCCTCAACTCTAGACTCCTTCCAGGCTGATGAGAAATCGTTTCAAGCTGCCATAGCGAACCCCGACATCCAAGTTCACCGCAATCGCAAACATTCCCTCAAGGCATACGTTGGCCCTTCTCCCTCAAACATCAACAGATTCTGAAGGTTCATGCGGGCCGTTGGTACAGATCCTCCCAGGGGACACATGGGTCCGTGTGCTCCACACATGGCACAGACAAGTGTTGTCCAAATATGCTGGTGTCTGCCACATTAACCTGTCCCGGCGGACTTTGACACAGCAGAGGCCACAAGCAGGCCCCGCCGCAACACGGCGCACGATTGCACTATGGCGCATGGAATAGGGGCCCACTGCTCGAGGTTGACGAAACGTGGGCCCGGGGGTATGAATGCGCAAAAGTGTAACGCTTGACCAAACAGCACATGCACATGATATCTGTGGATTCAGCCTCGACGCGATTACAGAAGCTCACAAGGGCCTCAAGGGTTTGCCTCGCCTGACATACACTTCATTGACCTGATCCCTGTGCTCCACACATGCTTGGAGCCGCTGCCTGCCTGGCACCATGTCACAGGCAAGTGTTGTCCAGATATGCTCGTGTCTGCCACATTAACCTGTCCCGGCGGACTTTGACACAGCAGAGGCCACAAGCAGGCCCTGCCGCAACACGCCGCACGATTGCACTATGGCACATGGAATAGGGGCCCACTGCTCAAGGTTGACGATACGTGGGCCCGGGGGTATGAATGCGCAAAAGTGTAACGCTGGACCAAGCAGCACATGCACGTGAGATCTGTGGATTCAGCCTCGATGAAATTTCAGAAGCTCACAAGGGCCTCAAGGGTTTGCCTCGCCTGACATACACTTCATTGACCTGATCCCTGTGCTCCACACATGCTTGGAGCCTCTGCCTGCCTGGCACCATGTCACAGGCAAGTGTTGTCCAAATATGCTCGTGTCTGCCACATTAACCTGTCCCGGCGGACTTTGACACAGCAGAGGCCACAAGCAGGCCCCGCCGCAACACGGCGCACGATTGCACTATGGCGCATGGAATAGGGGCCCACTGCTCGAGGTTGACGATACGTGGGCCCGGGGGTATGAATGCGCGAAAGTGTAACGCGGGACCAAGCAGCACATGCACGTGAGATCTGTGGATTCGGCCTCGACGTAAATTCAGAAGCTCACAAGGGCCTCAATGGTTTGCCTCGCCTGACATACACTTCATTGACCTGATCCCTGTGCTCCACACATGCTTGGAGCCGCTGCCTGCCTGGCACCATGTCACAGGCAAGTGCTGTCCAAATATGCCCGTGTCTGCCACGTTAACCTGTCCCGGCGGACTTTGACACGGCAGAGGCCACAAGCAGGCCCCGCCGCAACACGGCGCACGATTGCACTATGGCGCATGGAATAGGGGCCCACTGCTCGAGGTTGACGATACGTGGGCCCGGGGGTATGAATGCGCAAAAGTGTAACGCTGGACCAAGCAGCACATGCACGTGAGATCTGTGGATTCAGCCTCGACGAAATTTCAGAAGCTCACAAGGGTGTATCTCTGTGCTCCACACATGCCTGCCTGGCACCATGTCACAGGCAAGTGTTGTCCAAATATGCTCGTGTCTGCCACATTAACCTGTCCCGGCGGACTTTGACACAGCAGAGGCCACAAGCAGGCCCCGCCGCAACACGGCGCACGATTGCACTGTGGCGCATGGAATAGGGGCCCACTGCTCAAGGTTGACGATACGTGGGCCCGGGGGTATGAATGCGCAAACGTGTAACGCTGGACCAAGCAGCACATGCACGTGAGATCTGTGGATTCAGCCTCGACGTAATTTCAGAAGCTCACAAGGGCCTCAAGGGTTTGCCTCGCCTGACATACACTTCATTGACCTGATCCCTGTGCTCCACACAGGCTCGGAGCCGCTGCCTGCCTGGCACCATGTCACAGGCAAGTGCTGTCCAAACATGCTCGTGTCTGCCACGTTAACCTGTCCCGGCGGACTTTGACACAGCAGAGGCCACAAGCAGGCCCCGCCGCAACACGGCGCACGATTGCACTATGGCGCATGGAATAGGGGCCCACTGCTCGAGGTTGACGATACGTGGGCCCGGGGGTATGAATGCGCAAAAGTGTAACGCCTGACCAAGCAGCACATGCACGTGAGACCTGTAGATTCAGCCTCGACGAAATTTCAGAGCACAAGGGTTTGCCTCGCCCTGACATACACTTCATTGACCTGATCTCTGTGCTCCACACATGCTTGGAGCCGCAGCCTGCCTGGCACCATGTCACAGGCAAGTGCTGTCCAAATATGCTCGTGTCTGCCACATTAACCTGCCCCGGCGGACTTTGACACAGCAGAGGCCACAAGCAGGCCCTGCCGCAACACGGCGCACGATTGCACTATGGCGCATGGAATAGGGGTCCACTGCTCGAGGTTGACGATACGTGGGCCCGGGGGTATGAATGCGCAAAAGTGTAACGCTTGACCAAGCAGCACATGCACGTGAGACCTGTGGATTCAGCCTCGACGAAATTTCAGAAGCTCACAAGATTTTGCCTCGCCCTGACATACACTTCATTGACCTGATCTCTGTGCTCCACACATGCTTGGAGCCGCTGCCTGCCTGGCACCATGTCACAGGCAAGTGCTGTCCAAATATGCTCGTGTCTGCCACATTAACCTGTCCCGGCGGACTTTGACACAGCAGAGGCCACAAGCAGGCCCCGCCGCAACACGGCGCACGATTGCACTATGGCGCATGGAATAGGGGCCCACTGCTCGAGGTTGACGATACGTGGGCCCGGGGGTATGAATGCGCAAAAGTGTAGCGCTGGACCAAGCAGCACATGCACGTGAGATCTGTGGATTCAG